TTAAAGATTTTAATTATGTATTTGAGAGAGAGAGAGCATAAGAGGGGAGAGGGTCAGAGGGAGAGGCAGGCTTCCTGCTGAGCTGGGAGCCTGATGCAGGGCTCGATCCTGGGACCCTGCAATCACAACCTGAGCTGAAGGCAGACACCCAACCAACTGAGCCACCCAGACGCCTGCATTATTTCTGATTAAAAGTTGGTGCTTTTCCTTATCTTTGTAAACTCCATGTAATGTCGCCCTTTCTTTCTCTACCTTTAAGATTCTCTTTTCACCTTCGGTTTCAGCAATTTGACCATCATGTGGGGTTTTAACGTTTAAGTAATCTCTACACCCAGCATAGGGCTTGAACTCATGACCCCCAAGATCAAGAGTTGCAAACTCTTCCAACTGAGCCGCTAGGCGCCCCTTACGTAGGTTTTTTTTTGTTCCTCCTTAGAGCTTTTTCAGCTTCTTAGATTTATGGGACGATAGTTTTCATCAAATTTAATGCAATTTAGGCCATAATTTTTTAAGCTTTTGTTTTTAAAGACTTTATTTGACAGAGAGGGACACAGCGAGAGAGGGAACACAAGCAGGGGGAGTGGGAGTGGGAGAAGCAGGCTTCCCGCCGAACAGGGGGCCTGATGCGGGGCTCGATCCCAGGATCCTGGGATCATGACCTGAGCCGAAGGCAGACGCTTAACAACGGAGCCACCCAGGCGCCCCATAGGCCATAATTTCTTTAAAAAGTTTTTTCTGCACAATCTCTCTTCCTCATTTCCTCTGGGACTTGATTGTCCCATTGGTCCCTGAGGCATATTTGTTTTTTCTTTGCAATTCATCTTGGATGATTTCTATGATCCTACCTTTAAGTTCACTGCTCTTTTCTTTATTATGTTTAATATCTTCTTAAGCCTGTCTAATGAATTTTTCATTTTATTTTATTTTTTTATTTTTTAAAGATTTTATTTATTTGAGAGAGAGAGAATGAGAGAGAGCACATGAGAGGGGTTAGGGTCAGAGGGAGAAGCAGACTCCCCGCTGAGGAGGGAGCCTGGTGCAGGACTTGATCCCGGGACTCCAGGATCATGACCTGAGCCGAAGGCAGTCGCTTAACCAACTGAGCCACCCAGGAGCCCCAGATTTTTCATTTTAGATATTGTATTTTTCAGTCCTAGAATTTCCATTTGCATTTTTTAAATATAGTTTCCATGCTCTATAGAGATTTCCTGTCTGCTTGACCATTATGTCTTTTTCTTTACATCTTAAACATTTATAACAACTGTTCTGAATTTCTCGTATGCCAATTCCAATACCTATTTCTTTTTTGGATCTATTTCTTTTAACATCTGCCTTAAGTATGACTCTCATTTTCCTACTTTTCTAATATTTTTTTAATAATCGACATTGTGGATTCTGCATTGTTGAGGATCAGGATTGTGTTGTCTTCCTTTAAGGAGTTTTGGATTTTATCCTTGCACTCAGTTAAAGAAGGTGTGGCTCAGCTTGGTCTTCTCAAGGGTCGTCCTTCCGCTTTGCTAGGGCAATTCTAGAGAAGCCTTTATCCTAGGGTTAGAGGAGCCCGACTCTGACATGGCCTCTCCAGGGCTTCAGCGAGGTACCTCCACTCCGTTTGGAATTCCTGCATCTTCCTGCATTGGGTACCCTCCAGAATTTGGATTTAGCTCACAGTGTCTTGGGAGCTGCTCTCTGCCAGGCTGGTGACATCTTGCCTGGCCCATGGCGGTCTACTTTGGCCAAGGACTCAAGCCGGCCTCTGCATCTCTAGAGCTCTCGTGTGCCCTCTCCTATGCCACCCTGTGGATCCATGCGTGTCAGCATGCCCGAGCTCCACACCTCTGCCCAGCGCTCCTTGTTAGTTTGCACAACTAATTTTTGTTCTCTCCCGGTAATTGTTTTTGCCCATCCCCTGCCCTCACCCACTTCCGTGCTCCCGTAATACAGGTCAGACCTTTCCGTCACTTCAACTTCCTGTGTTCCGTAATTCTGTCTTAATGTATTTCGGTCTGGGTATTTTCTTCTGAATGATCTTAGTTTTCCAATTCTCCCCCAGGAGCTGCAGCGGCTGGAGGCGGAGCTGGGGCGACCCCCTGAGCGCTGGAAGGACACCTGGGATCGGGTGAAGGCAGCACAGCGCCTCGAGGGCCGGCCAGATGGACGTGTGAGCGGGCGTGGGTGTGGGTGGCCAGGGTGAGCTTGCGGTCAAGAGGGGTGGCGGCCACCGGCCCTGACACAGGCCCCCCTCCTGCTCCCAGGGCACCCCCAGCTCCCTGCTGGCGTCCAGCGTGCCCCACCACCGCCGCTCGCTAGGTGTGTACCTGCAGGAGGGGCCTGTGGGCTCCACTCTGAGCCTCAGCCTGGACAGCGACCAGAGCAGCGGCTCAACGGCGTCCAGTTCCCGCCAGGCAGCCCGCCGCAGCACCAGCACCTTGTACAGCCAGTTCCAGACCGCCGAGAGTGAGAACAGGTGTGAGGACGCCTCCCACTCTGCCGTGGAACCCTCGGAGCTGGGCGACTGGGTTGGGGCGGTTCTCAGTTGGGGGCCGCTGTTTCAGGGGACTCCTGGCCATTTCTTAGGTGGAAGGATTTGTGAGGGAGGCCGTGATGCCAAAATGGTGGCCCAGGCATAAGCTGACCGTGTGAGAAGCAGGAGGGCTCTTCTGGAAGGGGTTTGGGACGTAGAACCAGGAGTAGAGGGACAGCAGCCGTGGGGTACCCGTGAGGGCAGGCAAGGCACCAGGTGAGCTTGGGGCCTGGCAGGCTGGAGAGGGGCCATCTTGCCACGGTCACCTCCCCGGACCCTCCTGCTGCGTGTTCCTCGTCCGAGGGCACCTGCCCTGCACGTGCAGCTGCTTCCCAGAGACCCTGAGACCCTGGTGCTAGACCCTCTCTCGTGTCCTGTCCTGCGAGGGGCAAGGGGCGAGGGATGGGGACTCTCCTTTCTTTTCTAAGAACAGCCCCAGGGCAGCTTCATGACCCCCTGGCCAGTCTAGCCTTTGAGTCCAGCCTGGGTCTGTTTGAGGGCAGGGGCTCAGCTGGCTCGGCGGGTAGGGGTGGCCCTGATGGCCGGCCTGGTCCTGCTGTGCATGCAGGTCGTACGAGGGCACCCTGTACAAGAAGGGGGCCTTCATGAAGCCCTGGAAGGCCCGCTGGTTCGTGCTGGACAAGACCAAGCACCAGGTGAGTGGTCGGGGGGCTGGGGGGTGGTTAGGAGCTGGCAGGGGGGAGCGCTGCCCTGACTTCCTGCCCCTCCCCCCGGACCCCTCCTCAGCTGCGCTACTATGACCACCGTGTGGACACGGAATGCAAGGGTGTCATCGACCTGGCAGAAGTGGAGGCCGTGGCCCCCGGCACTCCCACTCTGGGTGCCCCCAAGACCGTGGACGAGAAGGCCTTCTTTGATGTGAGCTATGGCCGGGGCCCAGGGACGGCAGGGCAGGGGGCTCTGTGGGGTGGGACCGTGGAGTCAGCGACCGGCCGTCCCCAGGTGAAGACGACGCGTCGCGTTTACAACTTCTGTGCCCAGGACGTGCCCTCAGCCCAACAGTGGGTGGACCAGATCCAGAGCTGCCTGTCAGACGCCTGAGCCCAGCTCTGCTCCGGCTGCTGCACGTCCCGTCGTTAGAGACCACTAGGGGTGGGCAGGGCCCCCCGGCCATGTTTACAGCCCCCACCCTCGACAGTATTGAGGTCCCACCCCCCAAACGTAGGTGTACAGCCCCTGCGAGCTCCCACCCCCGCCCACCCCCGCCCGCCTGGCCGGCTGTAACTTATTCTGCAGTTATGGGTGAGCGCCGGCCGGGAGGCGGCCATGGTACAGCCCTCGCGGTGGGCCTGTAAATAGACCCCCCCCCCCCCCAGCTCAGCGTGTGGTCCCAGCTGGCCGGCCACAGGCAACCTGTTCCTAGAACCAGAGTCTATAAAGAGAGAACTAACAACACGCACATGCCTGTGTCTCCTCGGCCCGTCCAGACCCCCCGGCAGCCACTCTGCGGGGCCCACGTCCGCTGTGGGGGGGGCGAGCTCTGGTGCCGGGGGTGGGGGGGAGGCAGCTTCATCAGGCCCTTGCTTGGTGCCCAGCCACCCTCGGGGGTGGTCTTGGGGCTGGCACTCCCCCCCACCGCACCCCCAAGCAGCCCCTGGACAGGAGGTGGCCATCTGCAGGTGTGCCCTGAAGAGGGTAGATGGGGCCAGATTGTCCGGAGGATGGTCCCAGGTTAGAGGAGGGAGTGATGGGAGGGAATCTGGGAGGGAGATGCTGACGAGGGCGGGCTGCCTGAGGGGCCGGGGGTCCTGGGGAGTTTGCTCCAAATGCCCGCCCCTCCCCCTTCTGGGATCTTGCCTCAGGTCCTGACCGTTCTCCATGCCCTGGCCTCTGTCTGGGGCATGATGGGTGCCACTGGGGTTACCCCTCTCCTTTGCCACACAAATGTGAGTCCCACCTGCACCTGAGCCGGCCAGGTGGGGTGCGGGGAATGCCCAGCAGGTGGTGGCACCTGTCGGGGGGAGGTCAGCAGCAGGTGTGGACACAGGCAAGACCCACAGGTAACGTCAGGTGAGTCGTGAGGAGAGCCCCCGGTTCTCTCTGGGCCACACGGACAGCTATCGGACTGAGGGTCCCAAGGCCCAGGAAATCCACACCTGGGGCCCTATGCCCACCTGATTTCACACGGGGGCCGGGCAGCCATGAGGCGGTCCCTGGGAGGGAGGTCAGAAGTCACCAAAGCAGGGGCCAAAGGGTGAGGTCAGTGCAGGACCAAGGCTGTTGAGTGGGCAGACCTCTACCCCCTGGCCCTGAGTGCCCAGGGAGGCCCTGCTGGCTGCCCCCCTTGCCCAGCCAGTGAGGACAGGACGGCCCTGGGGACGGCGCTGGCTCACGAGCTCCAGGCAGAGCTTGTTTAAAAAGAACAGCTCAGTACTCGCTCCGGTTTGGAGACTCCCTGCTGCAGCCACGCCGGTCAGGCTGGGGTCCAGGGCCTGCAGCTTAACAATACACAGGCTTATCAGTAAGAATAACACAACTTTTATTGGGAGTTGGGGTCTTGGGTGCCCTGTCAGATTATCAGAACATTAAAAATGGACTCAACACAAAATAATCCTACAGACCCCTCCAGGACAACGTGGCCTGGCCCTGCCCTCCCCAACAGGTGCAGACCCCACCCCACCCGGCACCGCTGAGGCCAGTCTCCGCACCCCCGCGCCCCATCCTGCACACCCATGGCCAGCCCCCGCCAGGTGCCCCAACTGCCCCACCAGGCCGTGAGGGTCTTATTTTAAGGCAGTCAAATTTTGCAGCCTGGCTCAAGGCCAGCTCCCAGGGACGCTGGGCAGCTAAGACCCTGTCTGGCCAGTCCAGCTCCAGACCCACATCTGTCCCCAGAGCCAGGGAGACCCTTTGCTGTGGCTGGACACAAAAGTGCAAACACGTGGCTCTTTCCTGCGTTTGTTTAAAAAAAAAATCCGTAAAAACTGAGGCTCGGAGCCCACGGCATCCACGCCCATCGCGGCCCTCCGTGCGCACGCGTCTTGGGGTCGCGGCCCCCGGCTCCCGCCGGCAGAGCGCACGTCGGAGGCCTTATTGCTGTGCGCGGAGCTGGGGTCAGGCAGGAGAGACGCAAGCTGGGCTGTCCGACTGGTTCCAACTGGCAGCCCTACCAATGCAGCATTTATTTTAAAATTAAATTAAATTAAATTAAAAAGACAAATTGCATCATCACCAGGTAGTTTTCTCGATAAGGGCGCGCCGTGGCTGGGCGGCAGCAGCATCACACGGGGCCGTTCGAGGCGGCTCCTGCAGGGGGTGGTGAGTCCATCTTCCTGTAGGGGGACGGGTGGGGGTTGGAGCCCTCAGGGCCCGAGAGACCCATGCAGCCCCCCCAGCCCAACCTGCTCACCTGTCTCTCGTCACGGTGCCCAGGATGGCTACCGTGCACGTGGCTGGGGCCGCAGAGCTGACGGCCACCGCAGGCCCCGGGGAGCCTGCCACGGTGGCTGGGGCGGGGCTGGCCTTGCTCGGTGCTGGGCTGGCCGCCACAGCAGCCTCGGGGGGGACAGCCACGGCCGAGGTGGAGGTTGCTTCTGCAGGCGTGGGGGAGGTGGGGTCTGACAGCGTGTCCGCCCTGTATGGCAAACGCAGGCTCCAGCGTCCTGGACCACCGCCAGGGTAGCCCAGGGACCCACTTGGCCAAGGCAGCTCTGCGTCCCCAAGTGCTAAAAGCGCCAGACCACCTGCCTGTCCACTGAGGCCCCAGACCTTCCAGGCGGCGCGCATCCCAAGCTTGCCCCCCGACACCTGGTCCCTCTCCAGACAGCCCCCAGCCCCGCGCCGGGTTACGGGAGGGCCCGCAGGCCATGTGCCCAGGAACGCTCCCTCCCACGCCTGGAGAGGGCAAGAACAGGTGACCTCAGGACACTGGCCCTCCTCGCTGCAGCCCAGCAGGAGAGTGAGCCCGTGGCTCCCCATTCAGCCCACACCTGCCCAGTGCTTGCTTCTGGTACATGTGAGACCACCTCCAACCACACAAGACCCCTGGGAGCCAGGCAGGGTGGAGCAGCCACGGACAGCGTAAGAAACAGACCCTAAGCCCTGGGGACCACGTGTCGGCCCAGATGGGCATCACCTGGGGGTTCCCCACAGGCTGGCTGGGAATGCTGGTGCAGACAGCCCTGGAAATGCACGCTTGCTTTCACAAGGACCATACTTGCTTTTCAGAGCAGAGGTGGTTTGTAGGTGGGGGAGTCAGGAAAAAAGGAAGAGGTTTTAAGACTTGCAGTGATTCTGAACTTTGAGAAAGAATTAAACCCATTCAAGAACCCGATGTGCACCTGTAATCCAAGAGCCACCATGCATGGGCCCTGGTGCCCTGCCCCCTCGTCTGACCCACGCTTGTAAACACTGAGACCCCGCTGGCTCCAGGCTGTGCCCCCCAAGGGCAGGGGGCTAACGAGGACAGGCCATGTTGTTTGAGGTCCCGAGAATGAGTGTGCTGTGAGCCAGAGTAGACCCCCACCAATGGGATGGACCAAGCCCCAAAACCATTTGGGACCCCCAGGGCTGGGGCAGCGGGCTGTGGGGGAAGGAGAGACCACACCACTCACGCAGTCATGTACCTGGTCTTTGTCCCCTCCTGCTGGGATTCTGCTGGGGGACCTTCCCCCTTGCCCCTATAAGCTTCGGCTCCACCACCACCTCTCTCAAGTGCCCACCGGCCCCCAGTTTCCTATTTTCACAACTCACAGCTCCTTAACACTCCCCCCCCCTCCCCGCCCCCCAGCCCACCAGACCCAGCCAGGGGTCTGTCCAGTGATAGATCCCAAAGGCCTGGACCTTCTTCCTGTGCCTGAGGGAGGGATGCGTGGGGAGAAGCTTGCTGGGAGGATGCCTGCAGTCAGAGTTCACGTGGCCCAACGAGGTCTTCAGACACCCCCATCCTGTCTGAGCATGAAGGGCATTTCTGAGGTGCAGGCTGAGTGGGGCATAAAGGCCATTGTGCCCTCTCCCCACCACGTGGAGCAACCCCAGATCCTGGGGTGGCAGCTCAGCTGGCCAGAGACCCAAAACCCTGGCCACTGTCCTCAATAAGACCTAGGGGTGAGGCAGCCCCATCTCCGAGCCTCCAGGGTGGGACCCTGAGGCCCTGTGCTTTATCTCAATGAAAATGCCCCTGACCCCTGGCTCCCACTTAGATGAACGGGCGTCCCAACCCCCCTAGGGCCAGCATCCTCGGTCATGAGGTCATCAGGGTCAGCCTGCTTCCGGGTGAGCAGAGTGCCAGGGACAGCCAGAAATCCGTGTGCCCCTGGGGACCCTGTGCCCACCCCATCCTGCACACCTGGGGACTGATGCGGGCAGCAGGGGAGCCTCCCGGCTGGGACCCAGACTGACAGCTTCCAAGGCACCAGCCATCTTCTGCTCGTCCTCACCGTGGTCGGAGACCACCAAGGGGGCCTTCCTGGTGACACAGGCGCTCCAGGCACATGGGGAAGCCGGGCCTACTACAAGACGGAGCTGCTAATGTCCAGGGAGGACGGAGGGGCCGCGGGGCACGGCCCCAGGGTCCTCAAACCCACGTGTGCATGTGTGCATTTACAAAAACTGTATGAAGAGACGGTCCTCCCCCAGGCACGGAGGGCCCCCACTCAGCCCTGTGGGGCTTCCAAGCCTGTCTGATGAGGGGCTCAGGGTCAAGGACCCTGAACAGCCCCCAGGATGGCCAGGGAGGTGGCGCAGTGCATGGGGGTGATCTGTACCGACAAAGCAAGGCTCCCAGCAGCGTGGATGGGGCAGGCCGGTCATATCTGCACCTGAAGGACTGCCGGCTGCAAAGCCCAGCATTGCCAGGGAGACACAGCCCAAGGGGCCTTGGCCATATCCTCCCACTCCCTGTGCTCAGAGCCCCTCCTACTCACGGGCTCTCTCGGGGCCCTGCTTCGGGCCATCCTGGGCATCGCCGTGGCCCATGTCCACTGGGGAACTGCACCTAGGCCCCGACTCGGAGCTGCGGAAGGCAAGGCTGAGCCCCCTCTGGGGACATGCCACCCCCAAGGGCAGATGGGGTGACCTCCCGGCCCGCCCCACCTCACCAGCAGAAAGGCTGGAAGTCGGTGAACTTGGCCCAGCCTTTTTCCTCCAAAGCCGAGGAGCTGGGGGTGCTGGCTGCCCACACGTTGGAACCCACATCCACCGCCACTCCCGGGGCCGGTGCCGGCGAGTTCACCGGCTCGTCAAACACCGTCCACGAGGTGCCTGTTGGGGGGAGACATAGGAGTCCAGGCACCCTTGACCCACAGGTCGGCCCCACCTGCCTTCAGGGCCCTGAAGCCCAGAGCTGCAGGGACCCCACAAGAAGTGGACCAGTGGTGTCACGGCCACCAACTGTGACAATGTGGCTAGGGTAACCTCGACTGGGAGCAGGGGGCAGCCGGGGTCTGCCATCAATCCTGCACCACCACGGCTGGGGGCATGGGACAAGTGCCACCTTCAGGAACATTGCTCGAAAGCTCGTACAGATCAAGTGAGCAGATAACAAAAGCCCACTGCAGCCCCCACCATGCACAGGCCGGCCGGGGCCTGTGTCCCTGTCCAAGTCCCCTGCCCAGCCTGAACCCTGTGTCCCCAGCGTCTACCTTCTGAGCCACCCTCCAAGCGAGGACCTTCCTTCTGGGTAGAAGCCAGAGGGGCACCTGCCCGAGCGGCATCCTTGTCTGCTTCCAAACCCTCCTTCCTGTCCTGGCCTCCACGTTCCAGGCCATTCTTGGAACAGCTCTCTGAGGTGTGAGGACCCCCAAACCTGGGGAAAGACACATGGTCAGAGCAGCCCCCAGCCAGCACCACACGGGGACCCTGGGAGCATCCTGTCCTGTGCATCCAGAGCATCGTGGCTGGGGCAGGGCTGAGAGCGCGCACACAGCGTTCTGGGGCCTCTCTGCCTCAGGAGGCTTGGGGAGACAGGTGGGCCTCACACCTGGCTCTGGCCGTCACCCGGGCAGTGCAGTGCATCTCCTTGTCCTCCCAGATGTCATCCTCCTCGTCATCATCAAAGGGCTGGATGTGGTCACTGCAGCAGGCCTCAAACAGAGCTGCGCTGGGCTGCAAGCAAGAGCACCCACGTAGCTACACGTGGCTCCCAGAGGGGCTTAGCCAGGCAAGGGGCTCACAGGATGGGGGCCCGGTCTCCCCCTGCTGCCCACCCACCACTGTGTCCCCACCACACCCAATGAGCATGGAGCAGAGGACTCACACTGTCCTCATCAGCACCAATGCTGAAGTTGATCTCCGCGATCCTATCAAAGGGAGCACTGCAACAAGGGAGATACTCAGCACCTGGACTGCCGCCAGGGCCGCCCAATGCGCCGGGTACTTTCGCTCGTGCCCTTGGCGGATGCCAGATGCAGCTGCACCTCCTGGGAGGAGCACAGCCAAGTCCAAGGGTGTGGACAGTTCTGCGGGCAGCGACCGGCCACGTGGGTAAAACAGATGGGGGCCTCGGTCAAAGGGGGCGGCTCTCTGAGCCCGCCTCCCTCCTCACACACACTTGCTTTTTTCCACCTGGGTCCACTCTGTCCCTGGTCTGCACGGTGACAACCTGCCATCGCTGAGAGTGTCTCAGCCCGGCCCCCCAGCTGAGGAAGTGGCAGGACAGCCTCCAGGGCCAGGCAGGATGAGGCCGCAGGCCTGGAACCTGGTCACACTGAGCAGAACCCAGCTCCTTCCAAAAGGGACAGGGAACAAGGTCGTGGGAGAAGGAGGCGGCTCAAATGGGGGCCGTGGTGTGCAAGGGAGCTCCCCAGTGACAGGACCCCGGCCAGGGTGGACGGCCCCGGGCACATCCTGGGAGCTCACGTGACACTGTCATCCTGGTCAGCAAACTCCTCGTCGTTGAAGCCAAACTGATCCACGAAGGTGGCCGTCATCTGCTGGACCTGGTACTCGGAGAAAGCCTGGCAGGGAGGGTGACGCAGGGTAGGCCTCAGCCCAAGGCTGCTCCCGAAAAACCCCCTGGTGCTTCTCGGCTTCTCCCAACCTAACCTCTCGGGATAACGCCAATGCAGGGTTGTGTCCAAAGAGCTTCGTTTCCTCTAAGTTTCAAGATCATCCACCAGATCCCCCAGGGTTTACTGAGGTAAGGTGGCTCAGGGGGTCCCCCCCTTGTTACAGGGGCTGCACCTCCGGCCCCTCCCCTGCTCGAGCCTGGTGCGTGGGGACTGGCACACTCCCCTGGGCGGTCTGCCGTGGCAGCTCAGCAGGGCGCCGTCCAGCACGCCCCGGAGGCCTGAGGGCTGCCGAGAGCGGGTCAGGGCTGCCGGAGGTGTGCAGAGTGGCCACACGCACCTGCTGCAGGGACAGCTCATTAGGGAAAACGCCCTCCATGTCCTCATCCTCACTCGAGGGGTGAAGGTGGTGGGTGCTTACCTGAAACAGCCAGAGTGGGTGGACGTGAGCCCCACACCCCCCGGGGCTCCTGCCCCCTAGCCCCTCCCCTCAGCGTAGGGCACACTGGGCCTCGGGCATCAGGAGCCCCGAAGAACACACTAGGGGTCCTGGTGTAACAGGGAGGGGGCTCTGCTGAGGCTTCAGGGGGCCAGTGGGGCCTGAAGCCGGACAGGTCTGTGTTCAGGACACGGAGCCGGAGACTCCGCTGCACACAGGCGGGGCCACGTGGGTGCGCACAAGCACACGTGCGTGCACACATGCGCACTCACTCACACGCGCGCACACACGCACGCGTGCGCACACATGCACTCACGCACATGCACACTCATGCACACACTGCACATGCACGCACGCACATGTGCACATACACTGTGCACGCGCGCGCACACGCACTCATGCACATGCATGCACGCACACGTGCACATACACTGTGCACGCGCACTCATATCCACAGGCACGAACATGCACACGTGCACTCACGCGCACACTGCACACGCGCGCGCATACATGCACGTGCACTCACGCACACGCGCGCGCACATGCACTCACGCACACACTGCACATGCACGCGCACTCATGCACATGCACGCACGCGTGCACATACACACTGCACGCGCACACACATGCACTCGCGCACACGCACGCACGTACACTCATGCACACGCACTGCACATGCACGCACACGCACACTGCACATGCACGCACGCACACATGCACATACACGTACTGTGCACACGTGCGTGCACACACTGCACATGCACGCATGTGCACTCATGCACACGCACTGCACATGCACGCACGTACACACGCAATACACGTACACGCACTGTGCACACGCACACTGCACGTATGCACACACGCACGTACACTGCACGTATGCACATGCACTCATGCACACGCATGCACATACACACAGTGTGCACACGCGTGCGCACGCATACGCACATAAACGTACACGCAATGTGCACACGCGCGCCCACACAGACAGGAAGGCATGGCCACTGCACCAGCTGACGCCGTGCGGCGGGAACAGCCAAGCCCCCCAAGCCCCTCACCAGGTCCACAGCGTTCCTGCGGTTGGTCTCCGCCAGGGTCTCCTCCACAAAGTTCTCCCAGCGCCCTCGGCAGTCCGCAGGGAGCCCTGCAAGGGAGCACCGGGGGTGAACCAGGTGTCCGCGCTACTGCGCACAGGTGGGGAGAGCCCGGAGGGGACATCGGAGGGCTGTGGGAAGGGAAGGAGGCCAAGGGTCCCGCAGGAACTTGAGGGCGCTCACAGGGACAGGGCCCGAGCTGAGCAGGCGCGGACCCCTGAGCTTACGTGGCGCACAGGTAGCTGCAAAGCAACCAGGGAGGAGGACTGCTGAGGAAACAGCCCAGCTTCCTTCTCTGCGCGCCCCCCGCCCCCGCCCACCACCAGCCCTCTCCGTCCCAGCCATGTGCCTCTGTGTGCCTGTTTTCTGGAAAGGTCACAGCCCCAGAAAGAGTCCGTCTGCAGCCGGTGACAGAAGACCACGGCAGAGAGCTTCTGGGCTCACCTCTTGCACCCCGACCTGTACCCTTTGTGGGGAGCCTCCCCGGGCCCGCACACCCCTTGTCACGGGCGCCAAAGGACCCAGGGGCCAAGCACACCTCCTTGTTTCCATCCTGGAGGGCCACCCAGAGCTTCCTCAGCTCACCTCTGGCCATGGGCCACAAGGACCACAGCTGAGACCCTGTGAGGGAGTGGCCACACACCTGTGTGGCCAGGCCACAGGTCTACACCTGCTGCACAAGTGGCCTGACCGTTTGCGGCCCAGCTTCCTCAGCTGCATGATGGAGGATGAGCCCCAGCATCCCCCTGTGCCTGCTCCAGGATCAGGCACCTGAGGCCTGGCTGCAGCATGACCACCTTCCCACACCCCCTGTGGGGACCCTCCCGACGGAGCTTACTCCTTTGTACAAGCACCATTCACTGAACACAAGCATCCCACATGGGGCTGAGGAAGACTGTCCTGGTCAGGAAGCTGGTAGAACACCAACCCCAGCACCTTGGGGAGTCCTGGCTGCTGTCCACCCTCAGCCTCCTTGACTCACTCATGCACTCCACCTATCTGTCCATCTGTCCACCCGAGCTCCGGGGCCTCTCAACATCCTGCTCAGGCTGGCCCGGGCATCGTCTGCCTTAGTGGGGTCACACAGACCCTTCTGAGCTGCCCGCCTTCCTGTCTGAACCACGCCAGGACATGAGGGCCAGAAAGGGGTGTGAGTGTTGGGGCTCCAGGTCGGGAGGGTGGGGGTGTCTCAGGCTGAGAGCAGAGGTGAGGCCTGACCAGAGGAGGGGCTGCCTCTGCTCAGGCCCCACAGCCTACTCTCGGGCACACAGGCTACCTCCCCCAGCTCCCTCAGCTCCGCAGACTCGTGCTGGAAAGGTCTGCAAAACTGCCTGAGTCAGAGAAGGAGGGCGGCATTCAGACAGGACTCGGGTGGTCCCTGAGCAGAGCACAGGAGAACCTTGGGCCACTTGTGTTTCTGAATGCTGGCACTGGACAGGGTCTCTGGGAACAAGGAGAACCCCCACGGATGTCTGTTCGGACACCTGGGACCCAGGCCCACCTGAGAGAAGGTTCCACGTGGGAAAGCAATCTGACTCCAGTGCAGTTACCGCTTGCTGAGGGTCAGGGGTCAGAGGCAGCGAGGGCAGAAAGGGCTCACCTCGGATGACGTCGCTGATGTGGGTCTGCACGGGGCCCTTCTCCAGGTTCTGCGCCACCGCGTTGGCGATCCGGGTAAGGTGGCCCATGTTGCCGCGCCTCATGCCGCCCGCTGCCCTGGAATGAGCGGCAGGACCAGGGGGCCACTGGGGTGGCCTCACTGTGTGTCCACCAGGGCCCTGACCTTGCCCCGCATGGCCTTCCCTGTGCCCACTACCCCCCAGCCCCGCCCCGGCGAATCCTTCCTCACAGCCTTACCTGCAGGACTTATTTTTGGAGAGCACCCGCTGTGTGCCAGCCAGTAACTCCAGTCACACTGCTCCTACCCCACCGTCCAGACCAGACCTCCATACTAGCAGGGCCTGATGGGCCTCCGCCCGCCCTGCAGGCCTGGTCCAACACCGTGTCCCTCGACCCACTCTGACACCTCTGACCTATCCTAGCCCCCGACGCCCTCCCAGCTCTGCCCAGAGCTGGCTGACCTGAAGGAACACCCAGTGGGGCAGAAGACTCCGAAAGACTAAAATACAGTGCATCTCTGCTGTACGTGCTGACCCGGGAATGATCAAGAATGGACACACAGGACCCAGAAGCAGGCAGGCCAGGGCAAGGGCTGCTGTAGGAGGCCGGCGGCTCAGAGCTGGCCTGTCTCTGCCAGGCTCTCTGCCCGGTGTCCATACTGCCTCCCCCTCACCGAGCCCTATGCACCCTGAGGCCCACGGCCTGGCTTCTGTCCACCGTTCCATCCCACGCTGCCATGCACACGCAGCTTTGTGTTCAACCTCTCATCTGTCACACATGACCCAACAGAAGGGCACCTCTTAAAATCCCTCCTGTATTAGGAAGATGTAAAATGCTCACACATCTAGAAATGCAGCACTTGAGTCACAGAGTGGACAGAGTTGCTTCTGACCATGTTCTCTGTCTTAAAAGGCTGACAGCGCCCCGGAGAGGAAGCAAAGGTGAGCCCCTGAGCCCATGAGCCCAGCCTGGTAGAGGAAGGGGTCAGGAGAGCGCCTGTGGGACAGGGAGGCCTGTGAGGAGCTGCCCAGGGCACAGGAGGACGGGGCCAGGGACAAGGCCTGTCAGCCTGCCGTCTTAACCTCTGGGGCGTCGTGGACCCTTAGTGACAGCGATGAAGTACCCCCCCAACAGGTGCCCATGTGCACAAATACAGAATGTACAAGAGCAGCCTCCGCCCAGGGCTTCGCTTCAGTGGGTATTGCAAGGACCAGGCCCAAGGAAGGACAGATGGCCCCATCTTGTACGTATTCTAGAGGATGCAAACTGGTGGGTTCTGTACCAGCAGGATGTGGGCCATGAACCAGGTGAGGTCAGAGAGCCCCTGGGAGCAGAAGTCAGCAGGGCCAAGGGAAGGCAGGGTGAGGGTGGGGCTGGGGCTGCCCACACTGGGCCCCACAGGCCACACCTCTGCGGGACCTGGGTGGTCGAGACTTCTAGGCAACGGTGAGACCATCTGTGTGTTTCAGATAGATCCCAGCTGGGTGGGGCAGGAAAGCCAGCAGGAAGTAGCTTAGATGCGCTTGGGAGGTTTCAGGGCTCAGTGAGAACTGGCTGGTGGCTGGGGTGGGGAGATGGGAGAATTGAGGACACACTGTGGGTATAAGATGGGGTCTTGGCTGACAGATGGGGAGGGCGGGGGTGGAGTATAGAGCTGCTCGGCCCGTCTCCTCTGGTCCCCCTAGGCCCTGACCTTCCCTGGACAGCACTTCCAGGTGTTCATCCAGGAACAGGATGCCCTTCCTGGACACCCCGTGGTGGCCCCAGAAACCTGCACTGGGCCCTCAGGCACCCCCTGCAGCCCCCCGGGGGTTCTTACTGAGCATGATCATTGGCTTCCCAGGCCTCCAGGATCCTCTGGACCAGGCAGCACTTCTGGAACAGCTAGAGGGCCAGGTGACACTGGTCAGGGTCTACAGGGCTGCACACTCCCCTCCACCCACCCCCAGACGGTGAAGCAGGCACACGAGCACAAGGCTCACCGTGGGCAGGGACACCATTGCGGCCTCTCTGCAGCCCCTAGGCCCCCCGAGGGCTGCCCAGTTCCGCTCCTTCCCCTTGGCCTCCTCCCACCTCCTGTGTCCAGAAGCAAGGAGTGAGCCTGAGTACTGTTTCCTGTGCCTGCACGTTTGTTCTGGGACTCAACTCACACCCCACCCCACACGGGGCCCCCTGCACACCCCCACCCCCGTGTGGCCCTCACCACTGAAGTCGCCTGCCCCCGGCTGTCTACCCCCTGGGCTGCTGTCCAGCTCAGGCCTGCACGTTGCAGGACTCGCTCAAGCCACACCTTCTATGGGGACTCTCACCAAAGACCAAGGCCTTCCCGAGCCTCTGCCCCTCCTGTGTGGGCCTCACAGCCAGCCTGAGGGCCAGGGCTGTCCCTGCACAGCCCCGGGCCTTGCCAGGGAAGCATCTCTAAGTGGGCTCCTTGACACGGGGAGGGGCGTCAGTGCTACTTCTCAAGAGCACCCAGCCGGGCACTTGCTTGCTTCCTCTCCTCCTCAGCAAACACCTGCTGAGGCCGACTCTCTGCCAGACACAACGCTAGAGCAGTTCAGGGCAGGGAGACACAGACACCAGGGGTGTGCCTGCTTGAGGCCCCGGAAAAGCTGTGGGCAGTCCCGGAGGTGAGCGTCCGTCATGCACTCATGGGCGAGCAAGGAAAAGGAGAGAGAATGTAGTTTCAAAAGGTCCATAATCCCAGAGCATTTCTCATGAGAATTTTCGACTCATGCTCTCTCTTTCCCTTGCATTTTCCTTCATGGCTACGACAGGGTACAGCAGACCGGCCTGGAAGGAGCAGACCCTCCCCCTCCGGCGCCTCGGCTCCCCCAGTACAGTGGCCCTGGCAAACGTGGACAGTTCCTTTGTGACTCGCAGTCTGATGGGTGGAGGGAGGGCAGCGCATCCACGTCCTGGGAGGATTAGGGGTGGCCACGGGCGGCCAGCGTTAGTGCCGACATCCACACACTGAGGGTGGGCTCAGCAAGCAGTGATGCGCAGGGCACACAGCAAAACACGGGTCACTGGCCGGACTTACATGGGTCACCATTGTGCTCTCAGGGCGGCTGGCGGCAGGCGGGGGGGTGTCTGGGCCCCCGTTCCCGGGCAGAAGCTGCACCCCGCTCTCCGGTCCGCTGGCTTCCGCCCTGTCCTCCCGGGCAGCGTGGGACAGGATGGCGGCAATGCATAGTTCCACTTGGAAGTGCAAGAAGTTATTCCAAGTGTACTTAAAAAACAGGTCCTGGGGTAAACAGAGGACAGAGGAAAGTCTGTGGACTGGTTTTCTCCTGGCGGCGGGACCACACAAGTGAGGGGATCACTGTCCCCTGGCCATCTAAGTGGTCAGGGGACGCTGAAGGTTCTTCCTTGACACGGTCTCTCCATGACCACCTGCCCTTCCATCCCCAGCTTGCTGCTTTGTTCCGCTCCCGGTAATCTCTGCTCTCATCTGACCACGTCCTGTGGTGGGCTTATCCTTTTGTCCTTAAGTTAGAAGCTTAACTCACTCACTTTTAGCCTTTTTTCTTTCCCAGGTATCCTTATACATTTTGCTATATGGTATTTTTACTATTCTTCCTTTATGATCTGTCTTTGACCCATGAGTTACTGGAAGTACATTAAATTCTCAGACATCCAGGGATTCTATTCGGGAGGGGACATGAAATCGAGAGGTGCACACGTGGGCACTCCCTGAAGGAACCCAGCAGGGCCCAAACCTCAGCTGCACAGGCCGAAGCCCAGAGGAGGCTGAGTGAGGGTGGCCGCATAGCACCCCTGGACCAGGGCTGGGCACGGCAGCCTGCTTCGGGCTCTCTGGTCCCCGATGCCAGTAGGGAGGCAGCAGCAAGGAGGAGTGACACAGAATGCCTGTCCACATCCCTCTGGCCACAGTGGCTATGGCAGCCTGTGTCTCAGGCCCTCTGCTGTCCACGAGGGAGGAGGAGGGGTATGCAGGGGGGGAAATGGGGCAGGAGGACAGGGTGTAGACTCCCCGAGACAGGAGTATGGGCCCTTCCTCCACACCAAGGATTTGGGAAATGGCTAAAAGGCAGGAAGCCCATCTGCTTAACACAGTTCTCCACAGAAACATGGTCCCAAATCTCAGCTTCGCTCTCTCTGCCTGTGTGACCTTGAGTGACCCTGGAGGCGGCTTCACGATGTTACCTATTCTTCAACACAGAGTCAGACCCACCTTCCAATAAAGAAAAGCCCAGGGCCAGACAGCTTCACTGATGAATTCTACCAAACATTTAAAGAAGAATCAACAACAACAATCCTCAAACTCTTCCCCCATAAAGAAGGAACACTTTCTAATTCATTCTGTGAGGACAGTATTACCTCGTTATCAAAGCCAGATGAAGACACGCCAAGAAAACCACACACCAATATCCCTTATGAACATCAATGCAAAAATCCTCAACAAAATACTAACAAACCAGACTCAGCAGCATGTTAAGGGACTACACTCCAAGACCAGGCAGGATTTATTCCTGGAATGCAGGGATGGTTCGACATCTGAAAACCAATGTAATGCACCATATTAACCAAATAAAGGGGGAAAAAAAAACCAAACAGACAATCGTCTCAACTGATATTGAAAGCACATTTGACAATATTTGACATATTTTCTTGATAAAAACACTTAATAAACTAACAATAAAAGGAAACCTCCTCAACGTGATAAAGGTCATGTGTGGCTGGCCCACGGCAAACACCACACTCAAGGGTGAAGGACTGAAAGCTTTCTCTATGAAGAGCAAGGCAAGGATGCCCACTTTCAATGTTGCACTGGAAGTTCTAAACAGAGCAACTGGGCAAGGAACAGAAATAAAAGGCGTGCAAACTGGAAAGAAAGAAGTAGAATTACCTCTTTTCACAGATGATGCAATCTTATATGCAGAAAATTTCAGATTCCACACAAACTGTTGAGCTAATAAACAAGTTCAGCAAAGTCACAGGACACAAAATCAACACACAAATAGTACATTTCCACACACTAGCTTAGATTAAAAAAATTAAGAGAACAATTCTATTTATAACAACATTCAAAAGAATAAAATACTTAGGGGGTGCCTGGGTGGTTCAGTTGTTAAGCGTCTGCCTTCGGCTCAGGTCATGATCCCAGGGTCCTGGGATAGAGCCCCACATCGGACCCCCTGCTCAGCGGAGAGCCTGCTTCTCCCTCTGCCACTCCCCCTGCTTGTGTTCCTTCTCTCACTGTGTCTGTCAAATAAATAAAATCTTAAAAAAAAAAAAAAAAAAAGATGGGCACCTGGGTGGCTCAGTTGGTTGAGCGACTGCCTTCGGCTCGGGTCATGGTCCTGGAGTCCCGGGATCGAGTCCCCCATCGGGCTCCCTGCTCAGCGGGGAGTCTGCTTCTCCTTCTGACCCTCCCCCGTCTCATGCTCTCTCTTTCTCATTCTCTCTCTCAAATAAATAAAATCTTAAAAAAAAAAAAAAAGATACATATAGGGGACGCCTGGGTGGCTCAGTTGGTTAAGTGTCTGACTTTGGCTCGGGTCATGATCCTGGAGTTCTGGGATCAAGTCCCACGTCGGGCTCCCTGCTCAGCGAGGAGCCTGCTTCTCCCTCTAACCCTCCCCCTTCTCATGTACTCTCTCTCTCATTCTCGCTCTCTCAAATAAATAAATCTTTAAAAATAAATAAAAATAAAAAAAGAATAAAATACTCAGGAATAAATTAAACCTAGAAAATGAAAGACTTGTACATTAGAAACTACAAACAGTGCTGAAAAGAGTAAAGAAGACATAAATAATGGAAAGACTCCATGTTCGTAGATTGGAAGACTTAATTTTGTTAAGATGACAATACTACCCAAAGTGCTCTATAGACTAATTATCTATCAAGATCCCAATGGCATTTTTTTTTGGTAGAAATAGAAAACCCATCCTAAAATTTATACTTTTTTAAAGATTTTATTTATTTGAGAGAGAGAGAGAGCACAAGAGAGGGGAGGGTCAGAGAGAGAGAAGCAGACCCCACTGAACAGGGAGCCCAATGCGGGGCTCTGAGACCATGACCTGAGCCAAAGGCAGTCGCTTAAGAGACTGAGCCACCCAGGCGCCCTCCATCTTAAAATTTATATGGAATCTAAAGGGATCCCAAACAGCCAAAACAATCTTGAAAAAGAACAAAGTTGGAGAACTCACATTTTCCAGTTTTAAAACTCACTACATAACTACAGTAATCAAAATAGTGTGATAGTTGCATGAGGATAGACATATAGACCAAAAAAACGAGAGTCTAGAAATACATCCTCACATATATGGCCAACTGATTCTTTTTCTTTCTTTTCTTCCTTCCCTCTTTCCCTTCCTTTCCCTTTCCCCAGCCCCTTTACTCCCTCCCTGTCTTTCTTTCTTTCGTTTAAGTAATCTCTAAGCCCAGCCTGGTGGTCAAACTCACAAGCCTGAGATCAAAAGTCACATGCTCTACCCACTGAGACAGCCAGGCTCCACATGGTCAACTGGTTCTCCATGACAGCGTCACGATCATTCAAAGTGGGAAAAGACAGTCTCTCCAACAAATGGTGCTGGAAAAACTGGATATCAGCATGGAAAAGAAAGAAGTGGGACCCTTATCTTACACTACATATAAAAATTAACTTAAAATAGATCAAAGGCCTAGTAAAGCTAGAACTATAAAACTCTTAGAAGAAAACATAGGAGGAGAGCTTCATGACAGCAGACCTGGCAATGATTTCTTGCATACGACACCCAAAACACAATCAATAGAAGAAAAAAATAGGAAGTCGGACTTTATCAAGATTTACAACTTTTGTGTCAGATGCTATCATCAAGAGAGTGAAAATAATCTACAGAATGGACGAATGTATTTTCAAATCATACATCCGGTAAGTTTTAATATAGAGAATATATAAAGAGCTCCTACAATTCAACCATTAAAAAAAACCCACTTAAAAAATAGACAAAGGACTTGAACAAACAGTTCTCCAGAGATAATCATTAGGGAAATGCAAAGCAGAACACCCCTGCCGTGAAATACCACTTACAACACTAGGATGCTTATTATTAAAAAACAAACAGAAAATCCCAATAAACAGAAAACAGGTGTTGATGAGGATGTGGAGAAACTGGACCCCCATACACTGCTGATGGGAACGTAAGTTGGTACAATCACCGTGGAAAACAGTGTGGAGGCTCCTCAAAAAATTAATCACAGAAATACGTTCCGACCCAGCAATCCCACTTCTGGGCATATACCCAAAAGCAATGAAAGCAGGTCTCAGAGAGGTACTGTCCAGCTGTACTTAGAGCAGCACCTACTCACAACAGCTAACATGTGGAAGCAACCCCGCTGTCCCCCGCCAGCTGGAGGGACAGACAAAACGTGGCCATCGGCATCGTGGAGTAGTACTCAGCCTGCTGACACCTGCCATGACCCGGGGGAGCCCTGAGGACACTGTGCTGAAACAAGCCAGACCCAGAAGGACAAATCCTGTCTGGTTCCACTTCTAGGAGGCACCTGCAGTGGTCAGACCCAGGGGGACAGAGAGCAGACGGCGGGGCTGGGGAGGGGGCTGTGGGGATAGACTGTTTACTGGTCAGTTCCTGTTTGAGAAGATGAGAAAGTTCCAGAAAAAGACAGTGGTGATGGTTATATAACATCGTGAAGGTACTTAATGCCACTGAATTGTACACTTAAAAATCATAAAAATGGTAAATTTTAGGTTACGTGTATTTTCCCACAGTAAGATAAAAGCAGAAAGAGGGGTGAGAGAGACGGAAGAGGAAAGGAGGCCTTTTCTAACTGAACCCCCTGATCCGTATCTGGGCTCACGGTCCAAACACTGGAAGAAACCAATAGTACTTCGGGCCTAGTGCCAAGGCTGGCTCCTCCTGGGATAAGGATTCAAATGTTAGAAGACATCAGCTCTCTGGGAGTAGAGGCCCTACAGAAAGGCAGAGACAAGACTGGAGACTGCATCTACCCATGGCTGACACCTAGGGTGATGCCCCACCCTGTCAGCACCCTCCGTCCTCAGCAGCTGCCCACAGCCGGCCCTGCCTGCCTGCCCCTCTCCCTCAGGCCCCAAGGCTGTCCTGGGGGCAACTGAGAGGCATCTGCGGAGGAGAGGGCCATTTCCCATTGGCTTGGGCAAGAACTGCTAGGGTGACCTTCCACAGTGGGTGACCGGGAGCTGCAATCCTAGAACGCGTTATGTTGAAGAGCTGTAACGGAAGTTCTATCTTCGGCAGAAGGCAGAAAGGAGATGGGCCGTCATTTCCCCACTCCCTCAAGCTGGATTAGAGATCTGCCCTGTGCCTCCAGACCAATTCTGCACGAGCCTACAGCAAGGCCTGTCCCACTGCTACTCAGCATGCTTCAGCGGCAACAGCGCCGTCAGCCCCGGCACGGATCCGGGAAGTAGTCTCTGGGCACAGACCGTACCTGTTCCGGGAGAGAACCGAAGCCTCCCCTCGGGCAGACCCCTGTCCGTATGCTGAGGTCCAGGGCCTGCCTCTGACGGACACTGCCCGGTCTGCCCACCTGCTGCAGACCAGACGGCCACGCAGACGGCCCCGCCCGCTCACCAGCAGCAAACCCATGGTGTTGAGCCGGCAGAGCTCCTGGTTGATGCTGGGCGTGTTTGTGTGCAGCAGCGCAGCTGTGAGGCGGGCACTGTGCAGACGGGCGTTCCCCAGAGGCTCCTCCAGCACGCCGATGGTGGTCAGGATTGCTGTCTTCTACAAAGAAGCACCACCCAGTTAGAGCCTTGCAACCAGCATGACCACTGCTGGCTCCTCTCAGCTCTGGTGTAGCTGCTCGAAGGGGCCCAGGCTGGGGAGGCGTGGGACGTGTGTGTGGAGGCTGGTCAGGGCAGCACTGCCCGCAAGAGGAAGCGGGGGGTCAGCGGGGTTAGGAGCCCCAGCACTCCCCTCAGGGCCTCACAAAGCAGCAAGCAATGGTGGTCCACTGCCCCAAGAAGCCCAGGGCTGTCTGGTCTCAGCAAACCAGGCAAAGAGATGTGCACCTCAGCTCATGAGACATGTGCAAGATGGGGCCAGCTCTCTCAGGACCCTGAGCTAACCTCACGAAGACTCTCGGAGGACACGGGTAACAGTGGCCTTGTCACACTGGACGCAGGTGTTTCCTGACCCCATGCATGGCAGCATGACGTGTCCACCTTCTCGTTAACCCAATGTTCCAGAATCCCTACCTGCATGAAGCTCACTTTCTAGTGGGAGAGGCAGACGGTAAGTTGATAAATAAAATAAGCTGTGCAGTAAATCACGGTGAGTACTAAGAAGCACCCAGGAAAGGGAAAGGGGCCGTGACTGAGAGGGGCCCCATGGTGAGACCGGATGGCGGCTAAGCGACTGAGCCCTTCTCCGCATGACCCAAGTGCTGCCCAGAGCTGCTGAGCTGAGCAAAGGGCTCCCCTGGGACCCTCCCTGACCCCTGGCCTGGTGTCCCTGACTTGGAGGCCAGACCTCAACTTGGTAAACGGCTCTCAGATGACCCCTATTTCAGAGCACAAGAGTCATGCGGCGGGGGGGCTGCAAAATGTCCAACCCCTAGGCCTTACCTCAGAGCAGAGATGGATACTCAGCAGATGAGGGTGTGAAAACACGCTTCTGGCATCTGCCTGGTGGTTCTCAAGCTGGGGAGTAGGGTCCTCTGCTTGCAAACCATCCTGCCTACAATGGCTGCATGGGTCCCTAATAGCTGGTCAGGGTCACCTACCTTCGGCGGGCTGAGCAGAAGCTGGTGGAAGTCCTTCAGCCGTGGCTCAATGCCATGCAGTATGCCGCTGCTGACGGTACACAGCCCTTCCCGTCCCTGAGAAAAGGAGTCCACCAAGCCCTCTGTCCTGTGGACGAGGACAGCAGATGGAGACACGCGGGATGCGCCCCATCCTCTGTCTCACCTCGCCCCCCAACTCCTCCAGTCATCGGCTCAAGGGTGGTTTGGTGACTGGTACAGAGAGAAGAGAAAGGCACCACTGGCCTTTAGAAAACGCTCCCAGGTGATGGCCAAGGGCAGGCCCCTCGCCCCCGTCGGGCTGGCGGCACCTCTCGCTCCCTGGACCATCTCCGACCCCCTCCCCTTGTTTTGGAAATAGTCACCATGGTTCCCACTCCTTGGCTGAGAAACAGGAGACAGGACTCCACACTGTCCCTCCGGCTTTTTCCAACTAATTTCTCAGAGATCTTCATATAAATAATTTTTTTCAGTTATAAAAGTAATATGTGACCATTATAGAAAAACATTTTAAATACAAAAAAAGAATAAAAAAGAGAATCAGCTGGCTCATCTCTGTTTTGGGTGTTTTGGGTTTTTTTTTTAAGATTTTATTTATCTATTTTAGAGAGAGAGTGCAAGTGGGGGGAGGAGCAGAGGGAGAGGGAAGAAGAAAGAATCCCAAGCAGACTCCCCGCTGAGTGTGGACACCACCCCCCTCAACACGGGGCTGGACCCCAGGATCCTGAGATCATGACCTAAGCCAAAACCAAGAGTGGGACGCTTAACTGACTGAGCCACCCAGGTGCCCCTCATCTCTGTTTTATGTGTCATTTTCATGCTGTCCCTTCACCACAGCCAAGGCTGGGAAAGGCCCTCAGAAGAGCCCCCACTTCCTACAGAAAAGGACCAGGCTCCCTGGGTTCACAGAGATGCAAACAATCAATATTCTGGTGGCCTAACTAGAGTAAACAATGACTGCATCATCATTCTAGTTTTAGGTAATAAACTAATAGATACGTACTGGGTCCTAGAGAGAAAGAAAAACTGCTAATAATCTCACTACCAACATTAACTCAATTTCTTGTCATTTTCTTGTTTTTTTTGTTGTTGCTGTTAAGTCCAGTTTATCAATGCTGGGGCTTCGACGAAGCTCCCTCCAGAACAAGGAAATAAGAGAACCAGTCAGCCCAGGAGACTGGCCACCACCACCGTACAGGAGGGGACAGAGTAGAGCAGACAGACGCACACAGGGGCACGCACACCATACACGCACCCCACACGCTGGGACAGTCCGCAGGGAAACTCACTGGCCACACCTATTCCACAGACACATCTGTGAACACTCTGGAAGCTGGGGACCCTCGGTGCCTTCGGACTGGGGCGGGAACATGACGGATGCCAAAGGTCAAAGGAGCCATACGTTTACCTTTTCAACAAGGAGAGTCTACCCATGTGATTACTTACATAATTAGCAATTTGTGAAAAACACCACACACCCAGCCACTCGTCACACTCAGCACTCACTCACGCAAGACACTCACCCAGCCCGCCTTGTCTCCAACAAGGTAAGTAACACCTGAGTCCCACTAACGAGGCAGCTCTCAGTCTGGTCTCCGTCAAACATGTTCTTCAGAAGCTGCTCCACGCACTCCTGCCTGTCAGACACACAGAGCTCACTGCTGCTGGGCAGACGCACCGCCTGAAGCCCAAGGGACTGTCTCTCCCCTCCGTGGAGGAGGGACACCCTAAGACTCAGAGGGGCTTTGCTCAGGCTCCAGGCCAGACACCCAGGGCTCTCACGACCTCCTGCCCCTGCTGGTCACAAGTCACTGGACCTGGCAGGAGACCCCTGGAGCCCCTCCCCGTGAGAAACAGCTCTAGCAAGTTAACTGGATGTGGTATTTCATAGCCAGCTTGTCAGAATCTGAATCAGAGGCGGCAGCATCTGCCGGTGCGCAGAGCAGGGCGTGGAGACCTCCTAAGGACGCAGAAAGACCCCGCACCCACCCAGGCAGGCACCCGCAACACAGCCAGCACTCACGACTCCAGCACTGTGAGGAGGGGGTCGGGCTCCGGAGCCTCCTGCAGCTGACCGCCCTGCTCTCTGCCCAGCCTGATGATGTCACAGAGGGTCTGAGAGGCGTTGGACTGTCTCTGGAAGGAAGAGGAGATGCCGCACTCCCCTCAGGGTTGAGGAGAAAGCCCAGCAGAGCTGCCTCCCGGACAGTGGGAGCCACCCCACTGCTCAGTTCTCGGAAGGACACTGGACTCTCTAAACCAGTCCATTTCAGAGCTGCCTGGTTGGCCTTTCTGGTGTCAGGATGCAAGTCTGGTCAGACCTTCTGGATGAACTGAACTATCCCCAAAAGTCCAAATGGGGCTCTCCCAAGGGTCAAATACACCACACAGACATTGCTCCATCCCTTGAACCATTTTGAGATATGCTGCATATGTGACCACGTTACTGACACTGTGTTTTAAATTCATATTTAAAATATTAAGTATTAAATCATAGCTGGTAACATTCAGAATGAGTCCTGGAAGCTAATGGAAACAGGCAAGATGCTATAGAGAAAGCAGGAGGCCTCAACTCCTCTAGGGCAACACTAATCCTTAACTGGTGAAAATCTGGACAGTGCACTTCCAACAATGTGGGGTGTTTAGTGATGCAGATGAACTGACTAGAGAGAAATATCCCCTGGCTCCTTGCCGGGAGCATCAGAACACACAGCCCTCACATGCACGCTGTGGGAACTCTGGGCTAAAGGAAGTGCGTGCACGACTATTTTAGGAAGAAATGAAAGCAGCCGGAGGTCCCTGTGGCCTCACCCCTGCCTCTGGGCCGGGGAGCAGGCCAGTCAGGCCACAGGGTTCATGCTAGTGGAGGGGCACCCACCCTCCTCAGTCGGGAGCACAGGCCCCCTTGCCCAGCTGTCTGACAGCCCTGGGGACAGACAGGAACAGAACACAGCGTGGCCAGGCCGCAGCAAAGGCTCAGACAGAGTCGGCACCACTGTTCTCCAACTGCTGAGGGCAAGCAATCGTGTTTAGTTTTGTCATGCATCAAAAAAGGCTTATCAGGATATACTCCAAACTCTCAACAGTGACTCCTGCAGGGAGCGGGCAGGGGGCCGAGAGAGGAAGCCCCACTGCCATCCTGCATGCTTCTACATGGGCAGGGGGGCCTTCCTCCCAGAGCTCATGCCCTCGTAAAATCCCACCTCCTCAAGCATGGGCTGGACCCAGCCACTCCCTTCAAGAGAGCAGAATACAGCCACAGTGCAGACTGTCCCTTTAAAAAAAAAAAAAAAAAGATTTTATTTATCTGAGAGAGAGTGCACAAGTGGAGGGAGGGGCAGAGGGAGAAGCAGGCTTCCCACTGAGCAGGGAGCCCGATGTGGGGCTTGATCCCGGGACCCCGAGATCATGACCTGAGCCGAAGGCAGATGCCCAACCGACTGAGCCACCCAGGTGTCCCAGACTGTCCCTTCTAAGATGAGTTTGCAGAAGAATGACTTCTGTCTCGCTCACTCCAATGGAAGCCAGCAGCACCAAGAGCTGCCCTGTGGACAGGTCCAGCGCCCTCAAGGAACGGAGTCCTGCTGAGCCACGGGTGACCCTGGAAGCGGGCCCTCCCCTGCTGAGCCCTGACATGACCACAGTCTTGTGACAGACCCTAGGCAGAGCACCCACTAAGCCATGTCCATGTCCCTGACTCATAGAAATGGAAATAAAAAATACTTTGTTATAAGCAACTAAGTTTTAATTTGTTACTCAGCCAGAGATGAGATAACTAATTCAGCTCCGTTGTTTTTTTATAAAATGTAGTTTTATTTTTTTACTGAAAAGAAATGGTCTAGAAGTCAGTGCTTGATTAAAGGAGGTAAAGTGTCTAACTGGTCCTCATCTGAGGAAAGGAGCAACTTGCCCCCAGAGCAGCAGAGAGCATTCTCCAATAGTCCCGAGTGGCGGGCTCTATAGAAGGCGGGCTCCATGGGAGCTATACTCACATCCTCATCCTGACTCGGATGGATCAATTCCACGAGTCTCTGGATGATCTTCTCTTCATTAAGCCACTGAAAGGGAAAAAGAGGCCTGTCAATGACGCTGTTCATGTCTAACTCAAGAGAAGGGAAATCATTTGGTGCGAAGAAATCCACGAGCCAGGTTCCGGAGACAGAGAGTCTTTGCCCAACAATGGGTGTCCACCCAGACCCAGAAAGAAAAAATCGTCATCAAATTCTGGAGTGACCCAAACTCAATGAAGAAGAGAACCATGGTCCGTTTGTCCCAGTGCTAGACTCTTAAACATACCGTCTTCAGGATATCTCAGAAGACAGAAGGGGCTGGAGCTGGGGCTCTCCCCGCAGTGCATAGCCTGGCTGCACGTGGAGCCCAGCTATGCTCCACTCTCTGTGGCAACAGGGCCTTTCCAAGAGCAGGAGAAGCACAGAGGCCTGGTGCAGCTGCAGGAGTGCTGGGAGGACTGAGTGCCCAGCACTGTTCAAGGCACAAAGGTGGTGGGCGCCCAGGGGAGACCAGTGCACTTCCTTATCCCAGACTGGAAGATCTGCCTCCGTGGCTGCTCAGCATCGAGCTTATGCGAGCCTTCTGCCGTTAATAGCTGACGTTTATGCTGCACTCACTGCCTAACGTTAGCTGTCGTGATGAAGTCTTTGTGGAAGGCAGCTCCATAATGAACCTAAGCGTGCGAAGTGCCACCTAGATGATGCCTCACCTGACGCCAGGAGCTGGAAAATGGGCAAGAAGGACCAGTGCTTTATTTTAAATTGCATTACAAACAAAACCTGCCCGACAACAGTGAACAGCCTATCCAGCACTGATTTCCTGGTTTCTTTGAGATGAGAATCCTCCTCTTTTCTGGGAAAGCCCTCAGGGAGCTACGAGCACTCCTCTTACTGGGAGCCTGTCAGGACAGACACATTCACAGACCCTGGGACAAAAAACAGGCCTGCTTTGGTCTTTACTGTTTTCGCTGCATGGAACCCGTCAGCTAATGCCTTCCTCATAAAGCCAGGACCTGACAGAACTCCTGCTCTGAGGCCACAGGGGCACCAGGACCTGGGGGGCGGTGAGGAAAGCCCTCTTCTGCTTCTTCACAGAGCAGGAGGCCAGAGTGTCAGGGGGAAAGGAACACTCTGCTCTTTGCTTCTGGGTAGACTGAGGCAGTACAGCAGAAAAGGTGCAGACTGCAGGCCCAGGCTCAAGTACAAGCCTGACAAGAGCCCCTGACGACCCCACAGGGAGAAAGTCACGTTGGATGGAAAGCCAGGGGTGCTGACCTTCCCACATTCTCTGAGCTCCCTCACCCAACTCTGGCCTCCCTGAGCCAGGCACTCACTGTGCACTCAGAGAGCCTGCAGAGCACCGGCAGACAGGGACAAGGCCCTGGGGAGGAAAGGGCCCACACACTCACATGCAGGACGTCCTGCCGGAGCCCAGCCGGCTCCACGCAGCTGACGAGGCGCAGCAGCAGGTCCATGAGGGCTGAGGTGCCGATGTGCCTCAACAGCAGGCTGATGAACCCGTCCTTCTTCTTCAAGAACTGAATCACCTGAAATCAAACACACCCTGACAAGCCTGACAACCAATGAGACACGCTGCCCCTAAGAACTCACAAGAGAAAGATGAATTTTCAATTATACAGAGCATAAATTATGGAAAAACCTAGAAAAAGTTGTAAGAAAGACGTCTCCAAGGACAGCAGAGACCTGAGCACAGGGAAGTCCCATGAGGCAGTGGTGGGGACCCTATGAGGCCCCTGGGCTGATGGAGGTTTGCTGCACGGTAGGGGGCTTTATGCTAATATGTCACAAATACCCTGAGAGAGGGGCTGTGCACGAAGCTGCTCCGGACTGCTCATCCGGTACCGCATGGAGCCCATTCAAAAAAGGAAAAGAAAAGAAAAGAAAAAACTCCAGGCTCTACTGACCTTTCCATTGAATTCTACCAAACATTTAAAGAAAAATAATCCCAATCTTATATACACTCATCCAGGGAACGTAAGATGAAAGAATACGCCCCAAATCATTATATAAGAACACAAAATTTTGATTCTAAACACCTGATAAGGGCATTATAAGAAAGGCAAATTAAGCCAATCTCACTGATGATCACAGATGCAAAAATTCAGCACATGAAAGAAACCATAACGCACCACAACCACGTGGGTGCATACCATGAAACCAAGGCTAGTTTAACATTAGAAAAACAATCAGTGGAATTTGCCTACTAACAGAACAGAAAAGAAAAATTCTATGATCAACTCAATAGAGAGTAAAAACATTTTTTTAAAGATTTTACTTACTTATTTGAGAGAGAGGGAGAGGGGCAGAGGGAGAGGGAAAAGCAGGCTCCCCACGGAGCAGGGAGCCCTACATGGGACTCAATCCCAGGACCCCGGGATCATGACCTGAGCTGAAGGCAGACGCTTAACCGACTGAGCCACCCAGATGCCCCCAAGAGAGTAAAAACATTTGATAAATTTCAACAACCATTTATGTTATAAACTAAAAAGACTAGGAATAAAGAAAATTCCATTTCTGATTAAAAAGTATCTATAAACACCCCTCAACAAACATCATACTTAACTATAAGATGTCGAAAGCTTTTCTTCTCAGGTAATAAATAAAACAAGGAGGCCCAATATCACCACTTCGATTCAACATTGTACTAAAGGTTCTAGCCAATGCAATCAGGCAAAAAAAGAGATAAAAGGTATAAGAATTATAAAGGACAAAATAAAATTGTCATCAATCACAGATGATATGATCCTGTACACAGATAAAACAAAAGAACAGAAAGATAAACTGTCAGAATATCAGCTTTACTGATAATCACCAAAAACTGGAATCACCCTAGATGTATGCGAACAAAATCTGGAATCACCCTAGATGTACATGAACACATGACTGGTGAAACACCTGGTCCATCTACCCCATGGAACACCACTCTGCAAGAACAAGGAATGTACTACAGATTTTAGAAATGGAAACAGATTAGTGCCAGGGGCTAGGGATGGGTGAAGAGGTAGAGGTGGGAGGAAGGTGGGAGTGGCTACAAATGGGCAACACAAAGGACCCTTGTTGGTTTTTTGTGTTTTTTTTTTAAAGATTTTATTTATTTGTTTGACAGAAAGAGAGTGAGAGATCACAAGTAAGCAGACAGGCAGGGAGAGGGAGAAGGAGAAGCAGGCTTCCCGCTGAGCACAGAGCCCAACTCGGGGCTTGATCCCAGGACCCAGGACCCATGCCCTGAGCTGAAGGCAGACGCTTAACCATCTGAGCCACCCAGGCGCCCCAGACCCTTGTTGTTTTGGAACCGTTCAGTATCCAACTGTAATGGTAGATACATGAACCTATACAGATGATAAACAGTATAGAACTTAATACACACACACACAACTACAAGCAAAACCAAACAAATGTGTAAGATCAGTGGGTTGTATAAATATCAATGTCCCATAGTGATGTTCTACTAGTGTTTTATAAAATGTCACCACTGACAAAACTGAGCAAAGTATACAAAGGAGTTTTTCAAATTATTTTATACAACTGCATGTGAATCTACAATTATCTCAGTAAAAAGTTTCAATAAAAAAGATACCATTTAAAATAATATGAAAATATCAACCACCTAAGAATAAACCTAATGAAACATGTGTAAGACCACCGCACAGAGAATTACAACATGTTACCAAGAGAAATTAAAGAAGCCCTACTCAGGAGCGCCTGGGTGGCTCAGTCGTTAAGCGTCTGCCTTCGGCTCAGGTCATGATCCCAGGGTCCTGGGATCGAGTCCTGCAAGGGGCTCCCTGCTCTGCCGGGAGGCTGCTTCTCCCTCTGCCTCTGCCTCTGCCTCTCATGAATAAATAAATAAAATCTTAAAAAAAAAAAAAAAAAAAAAAGACCACAATGCTATATTATATACCAGAATACCCACCAGAATAACTAGAATAAACAGAATGATAACATTAAGGGTTGGTGAACAACAGGAAGTGGCATACTCTGCTAGTGGGCTTGTGAACTGGCTCAACCTCTTTCACCGTATCCATTCAAGCTAACCACGTGCATGTCCTAGTTATGATGTAACACCTAGTATAATGTGACACCCACAGCAACCACTAAAAACCTACAAAGAGATACATGAGAAAACACTATAGATAAATCAAAATGGAATTTAAATTGTCAAGTAACACACAGGAGGCAGGAAAAAGAACAGAGAAATGAAAAAATGAGAACAAACAGAAAACTGCAATATAATGGCAGCCCTGACATACCAAAAATTACATTAAATGTAAATGGCCTAAATATGCCAATTAAAGACAGATCAACAGAGCAGATAAAAACACATGACTCAACTATGTGTTGTTTGCAAGAAATTCACTTCAAATATAACAATTCACACCCACAGAGCTGTACAATTATCCCTCTTTATCCACAGGGGATACATTCCAAGACCCCCAATGGATGCCTGAACAGTACTGAACCCTATATATACTCCCATTTCTTCCTATACATACATACATACATACCTATGATAGAGTTTAATTTATAAATCAGGCATAATAAGAGATCAACAACAATAACAAATTGTTCAGAACAATTATAAAAATATACTATAAGGGATGTGAATGTAGGCTCCCTCCCTCTCTCTCAAAACATCTTATTGTGCTGTACTCACCCTTCCTCCTGTAATGGGAGATAAGATGCTTATGTGATGAGATGAAGGAAGGTGAATGACATGGGCCTGTGATGTAGCATTAGGCTCTGTCTGACCTTCTGATGCTATGTCAGGAGGAGGATCACCCACTTCTGGACCACGACTGATTGTAGGTACCCAAAACCGTGGACAAGGAGAACTACGACTATACTATGTATCATACTTCTGGACCACGACTGAGTGCAGGTACCCAAAACTGTGGACAAGGAGAACTACGACTACACTATGTATCATACTTCTGGACCACGACTGAGTGCAGGTACCCAAAACTGTGGACAAGGAGAACTACGACTACACTATGTATCATACTTCTGGACCACGACTGAGTGCAGGTACCCAAAACCGTGGACAAGGAGAACTACGACTATACTATGTATTATACTTCTGGACCACGACTGATTGCAGGTACCCAAAACCGTGGACAAGGAGAACTACGACTATACTAGGTATCATACTTCTGGACCACGACTGATTGCAGGTACCCAAAACCGTGGACAAGGAGAACTACGACTATACTAGGTATCATACTTCTGGACCACGACTGATTGCAGGTATCCAAAACCGTGGACAAGGAGAACTACGACTATGCTATGTATCATACTTCTGGACCACGACTGATTGCAGGTACCCAAAACCGTGGACAAGGAGAACTACGACTATGCTATGTATCATACTTCTGAACCACGACTGATTGCAGGTACCCAAAACCGTGGACAAGGAGAACTACGACTATGCTATGTATCATACTTCTGGACCACGACTGATTGCAGGTACCCAAAACCGTGGACAAGGAGAACTACGACTATGCTATGTATCATACTTCTGGACCACGACTGATTGCAGGTACCCAAAACCGTGGACAAGGCAGAACTACTATATTATGTATCATACCACTATACACAAATGTTCATAGCAGCTCGACTTGTAACAGACCAAAGTGCAAACACGTCATGTGTCCTTCAACAAATGAACAGTTAAACTGTGCTCCAGCCACACTTTGGGCTACTCCCAGTGCTGGTAGGGTCCTCATCCTGTAGAAATACATATGGGAGGGGCGCCTGGGTGGCTCCGTCCGTTAAGCCTCTGCCTGTGGCTCAGGTCCTGATCCCAGGGTTCTGGGATCAAGTCCCACATTGGGCTCCCTGCTTAGTGTGGAGCCTGCTTCTCCCTCTCCCTCTGCCGCTCCCCCTGCTTCTGCATTCTCCCTCAAGTAAATAAATAAAATCTTAAAAAAAAAAAAAGAAAAGAAAAGAAACACATATGGGAATATCTAGGGATGGGGTTTGGAAATAGGGGATGTAGAAAAAATAAAACTGGTCAGAAACACGTAATTATTGAAGCTGTGTGACAGAAACACAGGGGTTCATAAACTATTTTCTCTATAAATGTGTGAAATGGTCTGAAATGAAGAGTTAAGAAAATGTAGTCTGTTCACTGCAGCCCACGTCTCTGTGGAAACTGGGATCAAACACTGTGGCCCTGTCCCAGCCGACCCTAGAAACAAAGCAACTTCTGCGTTACTACTAACTCTGGTATAGCAATACTGTGGACACTCCATCTGCTAGAAAGAACATGGGAGCTACATAGGAAAAGACATACCAAATCCATTTCTAAGTGAAAAAAAAAAAATTTGCACTATTCAGAGTATGATGCCATTATCTGAAAATAAATGTCTTACAGGAAAAGAACGGCTGCTTTTGGGGAGGAACAGGAACTAAATAATCAACAGTGGTTGCCTCTCGAGTATTACAGGAGACTGTTCATGTATTTTTGTCTTGTTTGAAATTCATATAAATGTGTTAAATGTTTGTCAATAGAAGAAATATTTTGAAAGAGTGCATTTCATATTATTTTGATGTACTGGGCAAAGGAAGAAGAAGGAAATATAAGCAGCAGTAAAATACAGCAAACATCTGAAAGTAGCAGAGAAATATGGTCAGGCTAAGGCAATTATGAGCTGAGTGGCAAGGGCCAGAATCAAAGGTTTTCAGAAATTCTACCATTTCCCCACAGCCACGCTGAACCCCACTTCCCCACGGTCACGCTGACCCCCCCGCCCCCACTGCCCCACGGACAGGCTGACCCCCCCCCGCCCCTCCACGGACATGCTGACCACGACGCTCACCCCCCACACCGGTCACTAGCATGGGAGGACTTAGTGTCATGTCCTAGAACCTCTGCCACCACTAATACCTTCTCTCACCACCTGCATCCCCCCATTCTTCACTTATACTCTGACTGGTTCAGAAAAGCATCTGAGTGAGACTGTCCTCTGAGGTCCCTTGCAAAGCTTAAGGTCTAGGATCCTGAGAAAGGTATGTTCCATCGAACACTGACAACATGCCAACAACTTCTCCAAGGGAACTACTATCTGCCCTGCAGCTTGTACCTGCTCAGAACTCCAGACATATACGTAAAATATAGTCTGTTCCCTCACTCGATATTTCATGATACTGAACGATTATGGTTAATATTTCTGGGGGGTGATAATTTGCTCAGCAGTCTCGTCCCCTCCTAGGGTTATAATTAAACGAATTTTTAAGGGGCACCTGGGTGGCTCAGTCATTAAGCGTCTGCCTTCGGTTCAGGTCGTGGTCCCGGGGTCCTGGGATTGAGCCCCGCATCGGGCTCCCTGCTCAGCGGGAAGCCTGCTTCTCCCTCTCCCACTCCCCCTGCTTGTGTTCCCTCTCTCGCTGTGTCTGTCTCTGTCAAATAAATAAATAAAAATCTTTTTTAAAAAAAGAATTTTTAAAAGTCCTTGTATTTTAGAGGTATACACGGTAATATTAACAATAAAATCATACGATATCTGTTACTTGTTTTGAAATAATCCACTGGGGATGGTGGGAAGGGATAAAAGGTGAAAGACTCACCAGGACTGGCTGCTGGGGCTGGTGGCAGGCCTGAGGAACCCCTACAATGCACGCCCTATTTCTGCGTGTCCACAGTGTGGGTGCTGCAGAAGCACGAATACAGGCAGGAGCAAGAATGGACTCCAAGAAGACCATGCTCCAGCTAACAAAACGAATTCACTATTTTTACAGAAGCCTAATGCTGAAAGTTTTCTTTGCTTTGCAACAATAAGTGTCCTAAACACATAAATACCTGCCACCCCAACAGAGCAGCAGATCTTAGAAGGTGGACATCCTAAGAACCTGTCATGACGCAGGCATGTCCCTATTCCTCATGCCTGTGACTGGTCGGGACAAGACAAGCTAGCCTGGTTTGGAGTCCTGAGCAGCTCTCAGGGATGGCAGGAAGATGTGCTTATTCCTAAGCTAGCCAGCAGAAATATCCTCAGGAAGCCACTTTCCTACTCAAATTCAACTCACATAGCAGCAGCCTACAATGCTCCAACTATGCCCCTTGGAACAGTCAGAAACACCGTTCTCCAAGCCCCGGAGATACCGCTGCACAGCGACAGCTGACAGCAAGATGCATCAGCATCAGCCATGCCTGCCACCCCAAACCACATGGGCCTGGCAGATTATTTACCTGTTCAGTTTTTCTTGCAATGAGATTACCAATGGTCTTGCTGAAAAAACTGGCAAGCAGAGGATTGAGAGGCGGCTCGTGGTCCAAGAAATCGTAAAGAAGGTTCAGCAGAGTCTCATCCCCTCCTAGTCTGTCGTTGATCTGCGGCACATCACAAGTCAGCAGCTCACAGGCTGTGTTTGGATACCTAAGAGGGCACAATGCAAGCAACTGGAGGTGAAATTAGACTTCTTCAGCTCTCAGGAAGCTGCTTAAATGACCAGCCTCTCAGGAAACAGGTCCACGGGTCAGACCCTGGAATGGAGTAAAAATATTAATATCCTGTGACCAAGAGGCATTTTTGACTACAAGCAGCTCCATGTATTTAACATACATTTTTCTTGCTCCTCATACCCTACACCGTGGTATCTTACATTTTCTGACTCTACTGTATTCTCTAAATAACGCTCCTTAGTCTTTCGGTTTCTCCCCTCTCGAAACCTCTGTCCTCACACCCACCAGCCAGGTCTCTTCCATCCTGTGACCACACAGTTAGTGATGCCAAGTCCGCTGTTTGCACCCTCCCTCTCCATGCCCTTCCTATCCCTGCACACCAACAAGCACAGACCCAAGCTTGTCCCTCGGCTAAAGAAATGCCACATCACCAGCTTATGATGCAGTACCAGTTATAAGATGTTACAAAGGCAAATTATTAGTAAGAAATACCAGTACACATAAAATGACCAGATACAAAATAATCTTTATCCCATCACATGTAACCCCATGACATCCTTCTGCTCCCTGCCCTACCATCTGATAGACACAGGGTCACTGCATTGCCCCTGGGACACACACAGCTACCCAACAACGTGCTGCGTCCAGGAGAGGGCCCACAAGAGCGGGGCCATTAACAAGGCTTTGTGCCGGGGCACCTGGGTGGCTCAGTCGGTTGGGCGTCCGACTCTTCGTTTTGGCTCAGGTCATGATCTCAGGGTCGTGGGATCAAGCCCTGCATTGGCCTCTGAGCTCAGCAGGCAGTCTGCTGGAGATTCTCTCCCTCTTCTTCTCCCTCTGCCCCTCCCCCTGCTCTCTCTCTCTCTTGCTCTCTAAAATAAATAAATCTTAAAAAAAGATAATAATGCCTGGTGCCGCATCCAGGTACGTGTGGGAATGCAGGTGAGGGTGACCGGGGCCAGCACAGACAGGGGTGTGGTAGCTGTCTAGAGCATACCTGATACTCCACAGGACAAGCTCTGCAGCTTCAGGCACATGACCTAACCTCTCTGTGTCCGGGCTTTCTCCTCTGAACGTGGGGGTGCAAGTGCCCACCCGCCCCACAAGGCTATGCATAAAACAGTAAGCCCTGGGTCAAGGTCAGCCACCATGACCCTCCTGCTCCTGGCAGCCACCAACATAGGCCTTAACACAGGCCTAAACCCAGGTGGTCACTGTGGGTTGGCTACAGAGGCCTGGGTTAGAGAGACTGTAGAGGAAACAGCAGAGAGTGGCAGCCAACTAAACGTAGAAGGGGGAGAAACCAAGAAATCTACGTCTGGCTATGGGCCAGGCGTTTCTCATCAGCCCAGAGAAGAGAAAGCACCTTCTAGAGCTCAGAGAAACAGTACCGTGTGCACAGGCTAGGGGTGAGAGACCTGCTGCATTCACAAAGAGGTGGCCCAGTTAGGTATGCAGGACCAGGCCATGAGAGGGGGCAAGGGGAGGTGCAACCAGTGCCCACTCACCTCATGGGATGGTTACAAGGATCAAATGAGTCACCTCAGCACCATGAATGTGCACCGTGAAACCAGCATGGAGGAGAACACACAGCCGCCAGGGGCAGGAGGTCAGAGTGCAGGGCAGGAGGGCCAGGCCACAGTGACCCTGAGGCCAGAGCAAGGCCTTGCATCACACAGGCTGAAAGGTGTCCACCAGACTCCCAACAACAAGAGAAGATGTACCAAGGGTACAAAAGAATCAAGGCCCAGAGGAAAGTACAGACTATTCCCTCAGGAAACGTTTCCAGAGCACATGGAAAGGCCCCAATCTGGTTTCCACATACAAGCAAACGTGCACACATGTGGCAAGATGAGCTATGAGGCACTGACCCTCTAAGGTTATATCTAGATAGAGGGACTGAGGTTTTCATTATTGGTATTTTATTAATTATTCTTCAAAAAAACAGGTACTGCTTTAGTAGGTTCTAAAATTTATATAAGGAACAGGAATTCAATTAAACAGGGCAGATCAAATATACAGGCTTGTTATCTTCCCCTCTAAAGCTCCTATTCCAATAATGCAAAGGTAAAAAGACAAAAAGTGGAGGGGCGCCTAAGTGGCTCAGTCAGTTAAGCGTCTGCCTTCGGCTCAGGTCATGATCTCAGGGTCCTGGGATGGAGCCCCGCATCGGGCTCCCTGCTCAGCCAGGAGCCTGCTTCTTCCTCTCCCTCTGCCTTCCGCTCTGCCTATTTGTATTCTCTCTCTCTCTGTCAAATAAATAAAATCTTTAAAAGAAAGAAGGAAAAGAAAAGAAAAAAAGAAAGGAGAGGAAATGACTCCTGGCAAGGCCCAGAGGACTGTATGGCGCACTAGGGGAGCTAAGTCTCTCTGGAAACCACTCCAGAGAGGCCTGGACACAGAGGCAGTGGCTACCAGGCAGGGTGCAAGGCCTGGCTCAGGACAGCTGTGGGCTTCCTGCCCCTCCCTTGCCGGTACACAGGACTCAGAAGTTATCCCCTGGAAAAGGTGGACCAGAGCAGCTCCTGAATCAGGGACATCAGGTACAGCTGAGGGATTGGTGGGACACCGTCCAGAAACACGGGGCCTGGTAAATAAAAAGCTTCCTGACTCAGGCTGCTATCAGGTCCTCGTCCCACAGCTAGGAGCAGGGGGGATTATTTTCTGGAGAAACTATGGGACAGAGAGAAAACTCAACCAATCATCATCTAACCAAGAGGCTGGCCACCTATCGTCCACGCGGAAGCATGATGAGCAAGCCTCACTCAGACCCCAAACCTTGCGCAGGCTCTGGTGCCTCTCTTTCAGAAGGAACATAAGGGCTGACCAAATAAACAAGTGCCAGAAGACAAGGCACGCAGAGCAATGACAGAAGAAACTACCAGAAACACTCCAACACAGAGTGGCCACGAGCAAGAAATGGAGGCTTGGAGTTAAAATAGCTGACAATAAGAAAGACCTCTTCAATTAAAAATACAATAGAGGGGCGCCTGGGTGGCTCAATTGTTAAGCGTCTGCCTTCGGCTCAGGTCATGGTCCCGGGGTCCTGGGAGATCAAGCCCCGCGTCAGGCTCCCTGCTCCGCGGGAAGCCTGCTTCTCCCTCTCCCACTCCCCCTGCTTGTGTTCCCTCTCTCGCTGTGTCTCTCTGTCAAATAAATAAAATCTTAAAAAAAAAAAAAAAAAAACAATAGAAAGCTTACAAATCAGTAAAAGGACAGGAAGACAGCATGTGAAGAAGCCTCTCAGATGTAGACAGAAAGGCAAAGACAAGACATTCAGAGCAAAAAGAAGAGGAAAGCATTAATTCAAGTGGTCTAACAGCTGATTACAAGACCCAGGAAGAGAAAACAGAGGGCAACCCGGAGGGGAGAAGATTATCAAAGAAACAACACAGGAAGTTTCCCTGTGGGCAAGGCCATGAACTGATGGGCTGAAAGGGCCCAGGGTTACCTACACAATCAGTGACAAGAAGCCTGGATGCAGTGTCTCCATGTTCACAGCTGAGCCTTCACTCTAAAACCTCTCCAGTTTTGTTTTGTTGTTTTAATATTTTATTTATTTATTTGACAGAGAGACAGCGAGGGCAGGAACACAAGCAGAGGAAGTGGGAGAAGGAGAAGCAGGCTTCCCGCTGAGGAGGGAGCCCGACATGGGACTCGATCCCAGGACCCCAGGATCCTGACCCAAACCAAAGACAGACGCTTAACGACTGAGCCACCCAGGTGCCCCTAAAACCTCTCCAGTTTAAACTGCCCTGTCCTGACCCCGGGGGTGATCTCACATTACTGGGAGACTCCAGGATGATGGGACCAGACGAGGGCCCAAGTGCCCCCTGGAGGAGACAAAACCTGGGAGTCCTGTTGCATCCAGCGTGTCAGCAACAAGGTCAGGAAGGGGAGGCAACTGCGGAGTCTTACTCTAAAGCACGGAGAGTGCTGGCCGTGCAGAGCCTAAACCAGAGGGAGGTTCGAACAAGCGTGAAAGGAGAACAGTGCCCTATCAGGCCCTCACATGGTCCTCCTCCTCAGGAAGCTACTGGAAAATACGACTCCCCACAGGAAGGAAACCAAAGATGATGACGACGAGGTCCTGGAACATGGAAGGTGGGCCCTGGGTTATCAGAGTGAGGCTGGAGGGAACCCTCTTGCCCCTTCAGACACCTCCCTCTGTGCCAAGACTTGCTGCCCCCCAGGGGGTCATCAGGATACTGGGCTCAGCCATCCTTCCTGCTCTGACCTGTAGCACCTCAGGGTATTCTGGAGGGCATCCTTTGTGGGGGGCTATCCTGCTGCAGCCCCGTTTCCCGACAGGTGTGCAGTTCTAACTCTGCGATCTGGATCACAGAAGCCCACAGCCCAGAGCCACAAAACACTCTCTCCCACAGCACTTTGCAAGTAATCACAGTGCTGTCTTGGTGCTCTGTCTGCTGACTCTTTTGTCTTATTCCTCAAATGGATGAGAACTCAGCAGGCAAACTGGACAGCAACTCCAAGAAAAAGACCAGGACCTCCTTGCGGCTCTCAGGCTGGACCAGGTGGCCGGCTCCTCCGTCCAGGGCTGCACCAAAGAGCCCTCATGCAGCAGCCTCTGGCTTTAAGCAGCAGCAGTGACTGCTGTCTGACCTCAAACCACCAGGGGCAGCTTCTCTGGAACAGGCACGGCTCAGGTGCATCCTCCACTATCGGGGAGAAGAGTGTCCCCATAACCCAGCCTGTAGGGGGAAGCAGCCAGGTCGCCTCAGAGGCACAAGGCCAGGCCAGCCAAGGTGGGCGGTCGCCAGGAGTGGAGAAGCACAGGCCGTGGTTCCTGTAAGGCAAGGGATGGGAGCACGGCCACGCTCACTCCCTCCCTCCCTCCTGGACAGCTCGTACGCCACCGCGTCAGAGCTCCGGGCCTGCAGAGCCTGTAGTATGTCCCGTCGGACCTTCCAGAGATGGCATGCTGCCCTGGTCTAGTCTCTTCCCCATCTCTGAAAAACAACCTTCACCCTACTTCTTTCTTGCCTACCACACCACCTCATCCATCTATCCATCGATCCTACTCCTTTTCTCAAAAAGGAATCTTTGGGGACGCCTGGGTGGCTCAGTCAGTTAAGCATCTGCCTTCAGCTCAGGTCATGATCCTGGAGTCCTGGGATCGAGTCCCGCATCGGGCTCCCTGCTTCCTGGGAGCCTGCTTCTCCCTCTGCTTCCCTCTCTCTCTCATGAATAAATAAATAAAATATTTAAAAAAAAAAAAAAGGGCGCCTGGGTGGCTCAGTTGGTTAAGCGACTGCCTTCGGCTCAGGTCATGATCCTGGAGTCCTGGGATCGAGTCCCACATCGGGCTCCCGGCTCAGCAGGGAGCCTGCTTCTCCCTCTGACCCTATCCCCTCTCATGCTGTTTCTCTCTCTCTCTCTCTCAAATAAATAAATAAATAAATAAAATCTTTTAAAAAAAAAAATCATTAAAAAAAAAAAAAAAAGACTCTCCCTCTCCCCCCACACCCACCCGCGCGTGCATGCATGGGCTTTCTCTCTCTAATAAGCAAATAAATCTTAAGGTGCCTGGGTGGATCAGTTGTTAAGCATCTGCCTTCAGTTCAGGTCATGATCCCAGGGTCCTGGGATCGAGCCCCACATCGGGCTCTGTGCTCAGCAGGGAGCCTGCTTCTCCCTCTCCCTCTGCTTGCCTGTCTGCCTACTTGTGATCTCTCTCTCTCTGTCAAATAAATAAATAAAATCTTTAAAAAAAAAAAAGGAATCTTTGATTTAATTTTTTAAATTTGATTTATGATATGTACACATGCTTTCAAACTCTGTTCGACGGGGCTGGTGAGGAGGAGTGGCCTCCTGCCTCCTGTGTCCTTGCTCACCCACGTCTGTCAGCTCTGTGGTCAACCTTCATGTTTCTAAATAAAACACAGATGTACTTCTTCATTTGTCACTTTCCGATGTTACAAACCAACCCCGTACAATGGAAGATGAAGACAGAACTCTCCTGTCACCTGCCCCTCACCCTCGCTCTATAAAATCACAGCACAGGGCGCCTGGGTGGCTCAGATGGTTAAGCGTCTGCCTTCGGCTCAGGTCATGATCCCAGGGTCCTGGGATCGAGTCCCGCATCGGGCTCTCTGCTCCTTGGGAGACTGCTTCTCCCTCTGCCTCTCTCTCTCTGTCTCTCATGAATAAATAAATAAAATCTTTAAAAAAAAAAAAAAAAAATCACAGCACAATTCTTAGTTAAACCAAGGGCCTATGCTTACCTTGTATGAACATGTAGACACCGTTCACAGCTGAGCTGATATGTTCACTCTACTTACATCTGCTTACTTATGTAAGTCCCCCCAGAGTTAAAGTTCTCTCACTGCCTTGTTCGCTTGGCTTCATACTCATCCACTACTAATTTCTCCCAAACTCCCTGATGATGAACATGAACCTCTCCCGGCTCACTGATGCCACTCTGGGCTCCCTCTGCCCTGATCCAGAACACACTGCCCAAACCCCAGCTCCCCGTCCTGCTAACCAACGCCCTCTATGCATGCAGGGAGACCACATAACTTACCACCACACAGAACACATTTGGGGTGAGAGGGCAAAAGGGATGAGGCCATCCACAGTGATGCTAAGACAAGGGGCACTGACCAGGCATGTGCCGTGTATTACGGCTTCCACCCAACTTTTCGCAGATGGCCGCCATGGCCCTAAACCAACAGGCTCCTAGCTCCATCTAGAGCTCTCCTCTACACGGCTGCCCTGTCAGAGGCTGGGAATGACTGCCCTAAATGGGTCCCTAAATCAACTGTCCCCTGCCACAGGCACTTCTCGTCGCCTCTCCAGCTTTCTTTTCCAAGACAAAGGTCAACAAAAACTTCTGTAAAGGGGCGCCTGGGTGGCTCAGTCGGCTAAGCGGCTGCCTTCGGCTCAGGTCATGGTCCCAGGATCCTGGGATCGAGCCCTGCATCGGGCTCCCCGCTCAGCGGGGAGTCTGCTTCTCCCTCTCCCCCTGCCTGCCACTCTGCCTACTTGTGCTGTCTCTCTATCTCTCTGTCAAATAAATAAATAAAATCTTTAAAAAAAAAACAAAAAACTTTTGTAAAGGTCCGGACAGTAAATATCTTAGATAGTCTCTTGTAACTAGTCAACTCTGTCCTTGTAATCACCAAAGGCTGAGTGTGGCTGCGTACCAACGAGACTGTCTTCATGGACAACTGAAATGTGGACTTGATATCAATTTCATGTGTAACAAAGTGTTACTCCTTTGATTTTCTTCAACATTTAAAAATGTAAAACTATTCTTAGCTTGCAGGCCACACAAAGACAGGATTTGACCTGTGGGCCACAGGTGGCCAACCCTGTTCTAAGACTTCACCACCGCACACTGTCTGACGCTCCATGGACCCAGGAGCACCTGAGGGCGGCCCTGTCTGCCCCCATTCCTGGGTCACCAGCCCCAGGAGGTGCCACTCCGCCCTGTCCCCCTCGTTCACACTCCTCTGTCCTCATCCCAAGTCCTAGCCACACCACCACTTCCCTTCTGTCATGTCCTAACATCCTAGCCAACTGCTGATTGGAACATTTCAGGAAAAACTTTGAGAATGGTCAGTACCACTAACGACATGGCCTCTTTCCTCTGACCCCAAGACCCCACAGTGGGGCAGTTCCCATGGTCAAGAGGTCAGATGCTGCCCGTCCATCCTGATAGGCCATTTCAGCAGGCTGGGACCCGCTTCCCGCTGGGGTGCAGCCCATTTGCTGCAGTCTATCCACCTCAGTCATGGGGTCAGTCTTCTCTCAGCACATTTTCACTCAAAACACTCCGACACACAGAGTAACTCACTACAACTTGGAATGAGAAATCACATACACAGAGATTCTAAAATCTTAACCCTCACAAAAACCAACCCCACCGGGAGTGACCTCCTTACTTCTCAGATGGGGTGAATGTTTAAAGTGGGCTTTTCTGTCCGAAGCCCTGGCTCTGGACACCCTCCAACGCCACCCACCGCCTCCCCGCAGCCCTGCCCGGCTCCGGGCCCCGTCACAGCCTCAGTACATACTTGAAGCGGACCTTCTCCTCCATGTCCAGGGGCGGGTCCTGTGTAATGAGGCTCACTAGCTCCTCCATACACCGCTGCCTGCAGAGGAAGCCCAGCAGCTTCTGGTTCTGAGCCTTGCACTCCTGCAGGATATCATCTTCATCCATTAACTCTCGCAACGTCACATCCTCCCTATCCAACAATTTGTCGACGTGGGACGTGGTGTTCAAGTCAAACTTCCAGAACATGGTGACGGCCACGAAGCTGCAAGCAAAGATATAAGGGGTCACTTCTCCCACGTGGTGTGAGTTCACCTTCAGCAAGTCTACACCAAAGTCCAAACAGTCCATCCCCAACACGAGCCTGCGCTGGAGGGTGTTCTCCCCAGGAAATGCCTCAAGAGATCTCTCCGGGTCTGGCTCCAAAGCTCGCAGGGACTTCCCAGATCCTCCACAGTGCAGGACCTGTGCCTTCTCTTGGTTCCCTCTGGCTGACCCACCTTCAGTGCTCTCACTTGCTCCTTGGCTCCCTGAGGCAACACACCCCAAGTCTCCCATGTGTCAGCACTGGGGATGCATCTCCACCCCAAGAAATTTAACAGCTCTACAACCCACCCTCCCTCTCAGGGTCCAACCCCCACCTGAGCGAACACTAGGCATCTCTCCCCAGATGTACCTGCATTGCATACATTTTCTGTAGATCATCTTTGACATCTTAAGAAACCCCTCTGGCTAGGGACAGACTGTCCCTCCCAGAACTAGCCAATCCTTAAAGATAGCCAAGGGCTGAGCCAGAGCATTACTGTGATCTGCAAACTAATCTATCCAGAGCAACCACTCCTCTCTGGGCCCACACATCCCAGGAAACGATCTTCCTCAGCCTTCATCATCCCAGGGCCAGGGGCCAGGCAACTAGGGACCACCCACGTAGCTTAGAGTCCACTATAATTATTCAAACTAGGTGGCCCTAAGCTGTCCATCCCGCCCTGCCTTGTCTTTCCCATGGAAACCCCAATAAAGGTCATGGCTTGAGTGCTCCCCCACCCCTGTCTTCTGCCTCATAACACCCCTGGGACTTCCCCATGTGGCCCTGCCTGAGGCCCACACCCCCTGTCTCTAGGACCATATGTATAACAAACTTTGTTTTCTTGAGCGTCCCCTGTGTCCACTCTCCTGCCCACACCTGACCAACCGTCTCATAAAAGAACACAAAACCTCTCACAGACTACAACCTTAGCAAGTCAAACTCCTGGTGGCTCACTTTGCTTGGCCCTCAGCAACTCTGCCGGGCCCCCCTTTCACCGTCCCCACCGTGCCGAACCACCCAGGCTTATCCTTGAAGCACGACCTCCCTCACACGCACACCCCTGCAAACTGCTACTGGCCCAGCCCCGCCCTGCGTCTCACACCCCCCGGCTCCAGGCTCTTGCTGTCTTTGCCTGGACTACACACAGTCTGTCCTGCTCAGAGAGTCTCACAGGGCAGGCTCCCAGGGCCTAGGCTGTTTGCAACAAAGTTTTCACTGTTTTGTTGCAATGAAGAATATAAAACCTGTACCCTTAGCAAAGTGAAACCTGTACTTTGAGATTATGAATGGGAGATGGGATTTATCTTCTCTAGTGTTCTTACTTAGAAGAGTAAAAGACCCCACACAATGCAGAAGCCCCGATCTGTCTATGTGTGAAGCCATGTGTGAAGCCCGGCTGCCAGGGGGCCCCCGCCCCCTTCACAGCCTCTTGGCTTTGCTGCATTAAACTCCTTTTTTCAAAACATAAACATCTTCAAGTTCCTCCCATCCCAGCTCCAAAACCTCTGCCGGTGAGTGCTCTCCTGGCACCCACCAGGCTGCTCTGCACACGTTCCTCCAGGCCCTCTGGCACTTGCTGCTGTCTCCCCAGTCCTACTCTTGCCACAAGGACACTGTCTCTCTTCCAACACAAAGTGCACTTCCCTGCCTTTATCCTTCTGCACAGGTCTTGTGCTCAGACAGTCCCGCCTGTTACGAAACCCCCTCACCTTGCCAGACCGAGCTAACCAACGGCCCAGCCTGGGCTTCCCTAGGGCCAGGATCCGCACACACTGTCAGAGGGGCCTTTGACTGGCAGTGCAAGTGACCCCACAGTCGAACCCTCCACTCAGTTTTCTTCGGGGTCCTGAGATCTTCCCATTTCTCCTGTGAGGAGTGTGGATGGGTATCTGTGGGTGGTAGCAACATACTTTGGGAGAGCAGAAATCATTAGCAGAAGTAATTTCAGTATAAGATGGCTGTCTCTCCTAAATGCCCTGCAGAACAACTCATACAATCCAGGCAAACAAGAACTAGAGGGAGACTCCCACCTTGCCAAGGCTTTCTTCCAAACAAGAATGTGCAAGACAAGGGCAACTAGAGGTACCTTCTGTGTGTCCTGCTCTCAGCCATAGAGTGGGTGAGTGGCTGGGTGGACCACAAGATCCCATCAACCAAATGGGACAAGTTTTTCTAGCAGGATCCTAAAAAAGGACTGGATTAATCCAAACAAAGACCAAAAAGAAGAAAAAGAGGGAGGAGGAGGAGAGAAATAAGCAACAAATGGAGAAAATGTCCAAGATAGCAGACAAACTCAACCATGTCAATAAGTGCTTATTAAATGCAAATGAATAATTTCAATTAAAGACAGAAATGGCCCAGATTTTAAAAAGCAAGAACTAGGGGCGCCTGGGTGGCTCAGTTGTCAAGCGTCTACCTTCGGCTCAGGCCATGATCCCAGGCTCCTGGGATCCAACCCGCATCAGGCTCCCTGCTCTGCAGGAAGCCTGCTTCTCCCTCTCCCACTCCCCCTGCTTGTGTTCCCTCTCTCGCTGTGTCTCTGTCAAATAAATAAATAAAATATTAAAAAAAAAAAAAAAAGCAAGAACTAACTACACACTGGGTATTAAAAGCTTACATTAAATATAAAAATACATTGGGGTGCCTGGGTGGCTCAGTCAGTTAAGTGTCTGCCTTTGACTGGGGTAGTGATCCCAGGATTCTGGGATCGAGCCCTACATCAGGCTCCCTGCTCAGCGGGGAGCCTGCATCTCCCTCTCCTGCTCCCCCTCATTGTGCTCTCTCTGTGTCAAATAAATAAAATCTTTAAATTAATTAATTAGTTAATTAATTTAAAAAAGATACAGGGGCGCCTGGGTGGCTCAGTCAAACATCTGACTCTTGATTTTGGCTCAGGTCATGATCTCAGGGTGCAGGGATCGAGTCCCACATCGGGCTCCCTGCTCCGCGGAGATCTGCTTCTCTCTCTCCCTCTGCCCCTCCCCTCCTTCCTTTCTCTCCCTCTCAAATAAATGTTTAAAAAAATAATAAATATAAAGATTCAGGTTAAAACATTTTTTAAAAAGGTTACACAAATGGAACAGCATGCCCCATCCAAACGCTAATCATTAGACAGCTGGAGAGGCTGCAGTAATACCAGCCTACGGTTTTGCAATGCCTTTTGTCTGCTTTGGGTATCAGGTTTAATTCTGCATTCATGAAATATGCTAGGGAATACTCTCTTTTCCTCCACTTACAGGGTTTACATAAAACTGGTATTGCTTCTTCCTAAAACATTCAACAGGGTTCACAAGGGAAGCCAAGGATCTAAAATTTTCTTTGGTGACATTTCAAATTATGAACTCCATTTCCTTAAATAGGTATTTTCTATTTCTACTTGGTTTTCTTTTTTTTTTTTTAAGATTTTATTTATTCATTCATGAGAGACAGAGAGAGAGAGGGGCAGAGGGAGAAGCAGGCTCCCAAGGAGCAGGGAGCCCGATGCGGGACTCGATCCCAGGACCCTGAGATCATGACCTGAGCCGAACGAAGGCAGACGCTCAACCATCTGAGCCACCCAGGTGCCCTCTACTTGTTTTCATACTGACAATTTGCATTGCTGAAGGAAACTGACCACTTTACCAAAACTGACTAAATTATCGGCATGAAGTTATTCATAACATCACTGTGTTATTCTTTTAATGTCAAGTAGGACCTGTAGTAACACCACTCTTTTATTCTTAGATATTAGTAATGCTTGTCCTATTTTTTTTTTTTTAAAGATTTTATTTATTTATTTTGAGAGAGAATGAGAATGTGAGAGAACACATGAGAGGGGATAGGGTCAGAGGGCAAAGCAGACTCCCTGCCGAGCAGGGAGCCCGATGCGGGACTCGATCCCGGGACTCCAGGATCATGACCTGAGCCGAAGGCAGTCGCTTAACCAACTGAGCCACCCAGGCACCTGCTTGTCCTATTTTTTTTCTTCATCAGTGCAACTAAAGGTTTATCAATTTTACTGATGTTTTTGAGGAGCCAAATTTTGGCTTTATTTTTTTCTCTATTATTTGTGCATATTCTATTTCACTGATTTCCTCTTTTGTCTTGTAATTTCCTTCCTACTGCACACTTTGGGTTTAATTCGTTCTTCTTTTTCTAGCTTAAGTTATTAGATCATTGGTTTTCACACCATTCCCCTTTTCTAGTATGAGCATCAAAGCTATGAATTTGCCTTCAAGCACTGCTCTAGCTGCACCCCACAGCTTCTCATGTTTCCATTTTCACTGAATTCAAGTATAATGCTTAATTTTCCAATTATTTTGAGATTTTTTTTTTTAAAGATTTTATTTATGTGGGGGAGAGAACGAGCAGTGGGGAGGGGCAGAGAGAGAGGGAGAGAGAAGCAGACTCCCCAGTAAGCAGAAAGCCCGACGCAGGGCTCAATCCCAGGACCCGGAGACCACGACCTGAGCCGAAGGCAGATACTTGACTGAGCCAGCCAGGCGCCCCTATATTGGGATTTTCTAAATATCTTTTTTTTTTTTAAAAGATCCAATTGACTTTATTAAGTGATTCATGAATCAGGCAACATCCCATCTATCAGACAGAGGTGCACTCCCATCTCTTTGGTATTTATATATAACTTCTGTTGTGGTCAGAGAGCAGGCTTGTATGATTTCATTCCTTTTAAATTTATTGATATTTGTTTTATGGCCTAGCATAGGGGTCAACAAACTTTTTCTGTAAAAAGCTACAAAGACAGAAATAGACCAGATTTTTTAGCAGGATCCTAATTATTTTCAGCTTTGTAGGCCACATAGGGTCTCTGTTGCACGTTCTTTTTCTTTTTCTTAACAACCCTTTAAAAACATAAAAACCCTTCTTCTGCAAGCTGTACAGCAATAAGCAGGGAGCTAGATTTCCCCACAGGCTTAAGTCTGCTGACCAATGACCCTGCGTGTGACAAGGTACATCTTGGTAAATGTGCACCAGACAAGTTTTTCTTCTGTTGCTGTTGGGTGGGTCAGTTAGGTCAAGTTGATTGATAATGTGATTCAAGTCTCCTATATCCTCCCCGATTTTGTGTCTACTTGTTTTGACAATATGAGAGGAGGTTTGTAATCTTCAACTCTTAACTGTTGATTTATTTTTTTCTCCTTTTGATTCTCTAAGTTTTTGCTTCATGTATTTTGAATTTCCTTTATTATGTGGATGTATATTTAGGATTGTTATGTCTTCTTGATGAACTGCCTCTTTGATCATTTTGAAATGTCCCTCATTATTTCTGGCAATATACCATGTCTTAAGTCTACTTTGACATTAATACAGCACACTCTTCTTGTGGTTCATGTTTGGTATATCCCTTAACATCCTTTTACTATCAACCTATTTGTGTCTTTTTTTTTTTTTGAAGATTTTATTTGTCAGAGAGAGAGAGAGCACAAGAAGGGGGAGCTGCAGGCAGAGCAGGCAGAGGTAGAAGCAGGCTCCCCGCTGAGTGAGGAGCCCAATGCGGGACTTGATCCCAGGACTCCAGGATCATGACCCGAGCCAAAGGCAGACACTTAACCAACTGAGCCACCCAGGCACCTTTTTTTTTTTTTTTTAAGATTTTATTTATTTATTTGAGAGAGAGAATGAGAGAGAGCCCTATATGTATCTTTAAACTGTTTCTTTAATATAAACATGTAAACAGCATATGATTGATTTGGTCTTGCTTTGTTATTAAGTCTATTATTCTCTGCTTTTTTTAAGATTTATTTATTTATTCTAGAGAAAGAGAAAGAGCGTGCGAGGGGAGAGGATGGGCAGAAGGAGAAAGAGAGACTCCTCAAGCAGACTCCCCCCAATGTGGGGATCAATCCCAGGTTCCTGTTATTCTCTTTTAACTGAAGTTTTTAAGACCATTTACACATAATGTAATTATTAATATGGTTGGGTCTGAGTAATTTTTTAAAAATAGAACACACTTTTTAAAAAGATTTTATTTATTATTTATTTATTTGAGAGAGAGAGTGTGCATGTGTGCACGTGTGAGCAAGGGGAAGGGCAGAGGTGAGGGAGAGAAAGAATCTTAAACAGGCTCCACAACCAGCATGGAGCCCAACCAACTGAGCCATCCAGGTGCTCCAAATCCTGGCAGATTTTTATTTTTTTTTTTTTAAGATTTTATTTATTTATTTGAGAGAGAGAATGAGCTAGAGAGGGAGAGCATGAGACAGGGGAGGGTGAGAGGGAGAAGCAGACCCCCCGCTGAGCAGGGAGCCCGATGCGGGACTCGATCCCGGGACTCCAGGATCATGACCTGAGCCGAAGGCAGTCGCTTAGCCGACTGAGCCACCCAGGCGCCCCCTAGCAGATTTTTAAAACAGGAATTGATATGTTAATACTAAAATGTATATGGAAATTTAAAAAAATAATAAAAATAAATAAAACCAAGAATAACCAAAGCAATTTTAAAAAAGGAAGAACAGGGCGCCTGGGTGGCTCATTTGGTTGAGCGACTGCCTTCAGCTCAGGTCATGGTCCTGGAGTCCCGGGATCGAGTCCCCACATCGGGCTCCCTGCTTGGCAGGGGAGTCTGCTTCGTCCTCTGACCCTCCCCCCTCTCATGTGCTCTCTCTCTCTCAAATAAATAAATAAAACCTTAAAAAAAAATAAAAAAATAAAAAATAAAAAATAAAAATAAAAAAGGAAGAACAAAGTTGGGAGTACTAATACCACCTGATGTCAAGACTTACTATAAAGTGACATTAATCAAGATAGCATGGCTCAGGTGTCTCAACAGAACAAAATAGAAAGTCCAGAAATAGACTAACACATGTATGGTCAACTGACTTTCAATAAATGTGCCAAAGCAATTCAATGGGGAAAGTATAATCCTTTTCAACAAATGGTACTAGAAACTGGA